TGCATATAAGGAGAGTGTTAGGAATGAATATATGAGAGTATGAGGTTCAATTTTTATGCATTTAAAACTACCATACATTGTTCAAATATTTAAATAAGATATATTTTTGTATTAAATTTTCAAATAGTGACATGTGACACTGCATTTTTAGTAGTAGTTCAAGTAAACTGAGTAAAAAAAATAAACCAGCAATGACATTTACAAGCTTCAATTTTCTTTAATCCCAGAAAAAATATCATCAAAATAAATATTTAGTAACTGAGTTTATATTATTGTGTACAGGAATATTATGTTAAACTTTTTACGAGTTAGTGCATCTGGGTTTCTGCAGAGTCCCACCCATCTCAGTGATTAATTTGAGTATTCCTCATAATCTTCATGATTATTCAATGATTAATCTAAGATCTGCGTACCGCCCCGTGCGATTAGTGATTTTTCTGAAATTAGATAGTACTAATTAGGGCATCCTTTAGGTTTTCGCATATAGCTTCAGAGCTCTGTCCCTTATGTATTTTTTGACCGGATCTATTCTAAGGTCTCTTAGCATGTCATTCGTGCGGATGTACCATGGCACTTTGAAAAGCCTTCAGAGAGCCTGAATATGAGCAACTTGTAGCTTTTGGATAGTAGAGTTAGCAGCTTTACTATACGCGACACACCCATAAAGTAGTACTTGTCTAATTATCTGGCAATAGACTTTTATAATCGAATAAAAAATTTCAATTTCAAGACTCCAATTTTCTTAAAAAAAAACAAAAAAAATTAGAAAAAAAATATATTGAAATATTGAGTCACATTCATACATTAAAAACATTGTACTGACGAAAAAAATTTTCGCACATAATCAATTATCTCAACATATGCAAACAAAATGCTCAGTCATTATCGATCTTAAGTTCCTCGATCCCATCATTCTATTGTTCATTTCTGCAGCATTAATCTATCTGTGTTAGGGCCTTCATCTTGCTCTTTTAGGTACCTAATGATGACATTTTCCTACATATGTATAAGCAATAATCTCAACGTACGCAAACATAATGCTCAGTTATTATCAGTCCATAGTTCCTCACTTTCACCGTTCTATGCTCATTTTCTACGGCATTAGTCTATCTCCCTTAGGATCATTATCTTGCTGATGATGCTTACTGTGGTGTTTTATTGATGATGACATTATCATGTATGCATAGAATATGACCAAGGGTCATTATCTTGCTGATGATGCTTACTGTGATGTTTTATTGATGATGACATTATCAAGTCTGCATAGAATATGACCAAGACTGTCTTTTATTGGACAAATTCTACTGACCAGATAAGTTAATGCAAATTAAGTCCAATCGAGCATTACGAATGCGTTATGGTATGCAACTCATTTTCTTTGTAAACTAACTTTAATGCAATTAGAAGCATTTATATTCAGAAATATTTTTTTTATTACTAATGTTTTAATATTAAAGTTACAGGATAGTTACTAAATACAAGATAGTGTACTAAAACGTTATTATAACGTTTGTCATTCTATACAACTTCTATAAAGTTCAAGTTGCAACTCAACTGAGATACTAAAATAAGCAACAGTCAAACTGCCAGTTTACACCTTTTAACAAAAAAATATTTAAAATATCAAATATTCCACTATTGTCCAGTGTCCAAAGCCCTAATAAAAGGGAACACATAACTTAAAAATATGCCAGCTAGTTGCACTAAGAAAACGGAGTAATAAGAAAATCATTTTATAGAAATTTTTGTGGAGATTATCTGCTTAAACATATTTAATATTAAAGTACTTTATTTAAACTTCTGGTTAAATATCATGTTAAAGACTCGGTATATTTGTTTTTTTTTCCAAAAATTCCAAATTAATTTCTTAGTTTTGTATAGAACGTATAAAATTCATGCTTACTTATAAAGTACTCTTCCTTTCATATAAACTTCATCTAATACACATCATAAAACCTATAATTAAACAAGAACTGCAAAATTTTTAAGTAATTCTTGTATAATTTTAATACTGAGATATGTTGTTTTATATGCCTTTTGGGATGTCAAATTTTTCAAAGATTTTATTACCGCTCAGCTAACACTGGTGCTACTGCTGCTGCTACTTCTAGCACTTTTATAACATATACGCTTTACTGTTGTGGCGCCCTTTACTACACAACAGCTCAACGCACCTACTTTTTGTTCCCCTTATATCCCTCATATAATGCACATTACGTATATGTTTTATTCTCTTATTTTATTATTTTGTTATTTTTTAACGTATTTTTGTTTTTGTTTGCTTGCAATCCAACTCTAACAAGAAAATTTACTACTATTTTATAACTGCTCAAAGCAGAGACTTAGGCCTTTTTCTGATGCTACGTTAACTGCTTTTAGCCTTACATTCTGTGGCAACAATCGCTCGTCTTATGCATGCAGGAGCTTAAAAATTTCCAAATAAACCTACAAAAATTTGCTTCTTACGAATTTTATCGCTCTACATGGGCTGCTTAAGATTGCGTATGGATGCGTAGTTCCTTGAGCATCCATACACACAGGCAGTTCCTTTATATTGTTGGCCTTAATTTAGGATTTGCTGTGCTTGAAAAATATATAAGAAATTATATGACTTTCGGGTACGCATTAAATGCATTAAAAATTTTATTGCTGCCACAAAGAGCAAAACAACGATTGAGTGGAATTATCTGAAGGTGTGGCAATAATTTTCATATACGGGTATTCTTTATTATTTATATAATTTTATTCGGGCAATATACTGCATAAACTGATTTTTTGAAAAAATTATAAAACATTGCAACATTCATGTACTTTTAGTTTTACAACAGTGTTGTAAAATATAACCATATATAGAAAGGTTACTTAAGCTATTAGTGCGTAAGCAACCCACTTTCAAATCAAATCATCTTTCAAATAACAGGGGTAGATTAATACTAATAAAATTTCTTAGAATTTACAACTTTAAGTTACAACTTTATTTATAATTTTATACTGAAAAAAAAAAATAGAGTAGCAGCTAACAGCACCAAATTATAAGTGGAAATACCCCACAGACAGAGGCTGTACTGATAACGTCGAATAAAATATACACGTCCATCCTATTTAAGTTAAACTGAACCAAACTGTCAGGCACATAAAATTGACTATGTCCAGGATGTTAGGATGACAGCTTTGTCAATTCAATGAGAAGAAACTCTAAAGATATTAAATTTTCACGCAGCCAAATGTAAAAATTAACACATAAGATGAAACACAGTTTGTTCCTCATCAGGACAGATGCAATCACCATGTCCTCATAACACACAATAAAGGACATTCACCGATACTATACAGATAGGTACTAAGTAGGCTCTCTTTAAGTTGAAGAGGTCTATTGGTGCCTTTTTTTCTCTAAATTGGACCAAGATACAAAATTTTTATTCAATAAAAGCTGAGCCGTAGAGAATAGCTGGTCCAGATTAGTTAGACAAATGCATAGTTAAATATTAAACAGTGTCTTATTTTAATTTAATTTGATTTTTTTAAGAAATTATACTCTGAATTAAACATTTCGAAATATGATTGTACTTTTGGGATACAACATTAAATATTTAAATTTAACATTTATATGTACGTCTTTGTTGTTGTTTATGTTCTAGTTATTGTAGTCGTTTTTGTAACCCATTTCTGTACATTATGCTTGTATATAGTATAACCTCCATGTTATATTCCAGCTGTACGTAACCGTCTTAAGGAAGTGACCATATCGTCATCTTAAGGAAATAACCATCTGGTGGTCTTAAATTCTTGATCATACTTTTCGTACATACCAGCAAAGACTATTATTGATAACTCTTTGATGCCAGTATATTAAAGAAACTTTAAAATAAAAAATTACTGTTTTTTCAAAGATTATTTTACATCTTATTTCTGGAATGATTTTCTATTATTGTTTATAAATATTTTTTTAAATTCACATGAATTTTGATTATACGTATATAGTATAGGTATGTAGGCCTATGTAAAAAAATATATATAAAAAATTAAAACAATCCATGTTGTTCATATAGCTCAAACTGAGGTAGAAGTCAAAAATATTTATAGGTCTATGTAAAAAAAATATATAAAAAATTAAAACAATCCATGTTGTTCATATAACTCAAACCGAGGAAGAAGTCAAGAATCTTCGACGATATGGAGAATATGAAACGATAACACTATGCTTCAATTTTTCTTGTTTTGGCCACATAAGCCTATAAACATGACAGACTATTTGTGTTAAATATGAAACATTAAATGAATTAATTTCTTTAAAGTTTAATAATATTTTTTTATAAGCCCTTAAATTATACATACTAATATAAATTTTAAAAAAATGCTTTATTTTAAGTATATATATATTATTTCTAATTAATTTCTACAAATTGTTATTGTATAAATAGTTGAATTTATAAAATTAAACAATAAATTTAAAAGGGTTGAAAAAAAAGACTCTAAACTCAACAATATCTTATTATATGGTTAATTTGTTGTAAAAAAGAAATTTAAAAAAAAAAAAAATTTTTTTTAACAATTTATCACACACTCAATTCGTCATCATATGCAAGTCAATAAATTCATGCAAAAAAAAAGAAAAAAAAAACTAAGAATCATATATGCAAAATTTATACGTACGAGTAGCGATAGTAGAAAATTAATTAATCCGCACACATAAACCATTTACGGCACCATTACTACCAAGTATCATTTGAACCATTAACGCTATCACATTCACTATATCACTTAATCACCAAACTCCATCACCAACAATTCTAACCAAATCTCACCAATCAACCAAACCTTACTTTCACAATCATGTCAACCCTTTCGTTTTTATTTAAATAACCGCCACCACCAACAACACCACCACCACCCTCACCCACATTTTTACCTTATAACAAATACTAAAAACCAAATAGAAACGTTAAAAAATCAAACTTGAACTTGCAACAAAATCGCTTTATTGTAATTTTTGTTTGCAGGATGGACAACGTGGTCATTTAGAGGGTCTAGCATCTGTCTATTGTGAATTGTTAATGGCTCCCTTTGGAGATATTTTAAGTGCTTTAGAAAATGCTAGACAAGCAGCATGGGCGGAACGTAGCCCAATGAATCCTGCCGGTGGCAGTGGGAGTAGCGGTAGTGGCAGTGGCGTTAGTGGTATTGGCACACAACGACTACACGGTCATCGAGGCCATTCCAGCCAAGGTGGCGGCTTACCAAATAGTCATAGTCAGCCAATTTATGTGCCAGGAAAATATTCGGTATGTATTTTATGCCAAAATGCCAAATAACAAAAATCAGTAAAACAAAAAAAAAACAACAAAAAAAAATAGCAAAACAAATTATCTAGCAAATATTCATATTCGCACACAATTAAAACCAAAAATTGAAAACAAAAAAAAAGTAATGGGAAAAAAAATTTGTATCTACACATTATCAAAAATATAATATTCAGTATTGGTGCTGGTGTTCATTTGACTGCAATATTTTATACACTTACACTGACTCACACAAGTACTCGTACAATGAACTCACATGAACAATAAATTTGGCATATGAATTGTAGAATTTTGTGGTGTTGGTTATTTGCATTCGGTATTCAAAATTTTAATTGCTAAACCTCAACTGAAAATAACAGCAAAAATAATTATTCTAAAAAACATATTTTGTTAAAAATTACAAATAAAATCGATATATATGTACAATTATATACATAAGAGTGTTTACACTTATCATATATGTAGTATGTTCATTTAAAGTTATTTTAATTGTTTTGTATATGGTATATTTTATTTACGTTTGTTTACTCGTATAGCTGATGTAGTGAGTTGTTAATAGATATTTTAATATACGTAGTTAATATATTTAATAAATAAATATACACTTATACAATATTAAAATTTAAATGGTTTACAGTTTAATTTCAATAATTAATAGACAGTAGCAAAATCTACTAACGTCCAACGCACAATTAAATAACAGTAGCCAACTACAGTAGCTGTCGACTCTCACTGCAGTCCTTTTATATTGCAATAACTGCAGTAATCAGAGACTGTTGCTTAAATATGCGTAGTATTTATCTGAAGATTGCTGAACTTCATTTTTGAGAATTCTAACTACAGTAGGTAACAATTATTAGAACTCGAAGGAATGTTTCTAGTTACTGTTGTCGACGACTGTTGCTTAATCATGCATTGTGTATAGATCATAATTTTAATATGATACAACATATTCTATATCATAAAACAATACATTATTGTATTGCCTTTTAAAAATATATTAATGAATTTAATGTAAAACTACAGTAATGAATATAGGAAAATAAAACATATTGTGTTGCAATTAGGGCACCAAACCGGAATTTTTTCCGTTATAGTTTTTGTTCCGGCAAAAATATCGGTTTTTTTCGGTTCGGTTCCAGTTCCATGCCCGGTTGCAATCCATCAGAACAATTTAAGAGTATAGATGTTAAAATTTTTTTTTTAATTTTTATCCTATCCGAGTTAGCATTATTTACGCAGTACCTGCAAATTTAATAGTCCTTGGTTATCTCTTCGTTTAAGCTGCAGCATCGCATATAGTCTTTAACAATATTTTTGCAGGTAATCAGAGTCATCAATTTAAACTCCATTTTAGATACTAAACTTATTTCACTGCCTAGTCCTTCACTCACATCATAGCCGTACAAGAGATACGTGATGTTTTTAGTCTTTACTTAAGAATTAAAGAAATTGTCCGTCAGCCAAATATATTTCGCAATAAATAACCTTAAATATCATATGTACCTAAAAAATATATTTCAAGTATGTTTATTAACATTCGATTGAAATATGTCCACAAAACTAATAATATAATATTTTGCGAACTGTTTTTGTTGCATGCTCACTCCTGATCCTCATTGCGAGATCTATGGTAAAAATTGTAATATAAACCTTTAGATGGGTTTTAATACTCCGGTACTTTAACTTATGCTGTCTGTCTCTCACCACATTCATTATTCTCATGAATTGATAGACCGATTACAGTTACCGGATAATATTTAAAAATGTTACTAAAGATTTTAGAGCTACTTGATTTTTTTTCTAGTGCATTTAGTGTTTATATTTTTCCATCCTGTTAACACTTAAGAAGTTAGCTTATTTTTGTTCGGTTCAAAGCGTGTAGGCTTTAACAAAGTTGCAGTTCACGTACTAACTGTAGTAATAAAGGGTCGCTGTGTCTTTACACCGATGCTTTAATGATCAAATATTTTAACAAGTGGAATGTGCGGAAGTTATCATAAAGAAGTGACAATAAAATCCATCAATCACCACATGCAATATCTTTGTCTGGGACTGCAGATGAAACGACCTTAATGTCTTGAAAATTATTTTTATACTGCATAGTTTATCTAAAAAAACCATATAATTTAACAAAGACTATACCAAACTTGTGTCTTACTAGCTACTTTGATGGTATTATCTTAATGGACAATATATGTCTTAATGTGAAACTGCTGGCAGTTATATTATCACACGATTTCTTAACCTAATCCGTATCTTAGTCTTAAATAAAATTGCAATTATTTTAAATTAGATTGACTATTTTTAACGTTAAATTGCATGATCAGACCATCCTTTATATATATATAAAGTAACTGAACAAACTTTCAATTTGTAGAGTTCGAATTAAATGTACCAGATCATAAGTCATTTATATATCTTAGCGTTCGAGCAGTTCTAGCCGGAAGTTATAAAGTTTTGCTTAGTAATGAATACTTTTTCAATAAAGTATGAACGACACTAAATTGAAAAAGTGTATTGACAAAGAAAAACAAACTCTAGCTCTAATTTACCTGAAACCAATTGATTTCATTATAATGGTAAATATACACACTAATATGTATATATGAATTAAAGTAGATAGATATCAGTGTCAGTCGGTCCTGTAAACATATATTAAAGTGTTAAACATATATTACTAAATATTTGTTTATTTATGCTTATTATGTTTTTATCTAAACATTTTTTTCTTTCAAAAAATATCTAAACTTCTTGTTAAATATGAAAGAAAATATTAAAAAATGACATTGTTAGCTTTTTTTGAGTAAAGTATCCCAACCATAATTAAATCTTTACTAAATGTGCAATTACTTTCCACTTCAGTGCACTTGAATCAATAACTTTTAAACATCATTTCAGCACACTTAACCTACACTAAAGAAGACTGAAGGAAAAACCAATTCAAACTTAATTTCGCTCAAAAAAAAATAAAAGAAAAGTGTTGAATTGCTGTGCAAAAATAATCCTCTTAAATATTTAACAACATGAAATTTTTATAATACATTTCGATTTTTGTATAGTTTTTATTCCATACTGGCACTGACTTATTGCTTCCACTCACTGACTGAATTCACTGAGACTCTGTACATCTTCAATGGAAATCGAACGGAATTTCCCCAAAGTGAAATATAGCGCATACAATATTCTCCCTTTCAATTGCTTAGTGTTGACATATCCTTTGGGATTATTTGCTTTATCCTTTGCTGTTTCTTTTTAATCTTTTCCATTACAAATTCTGTTTTTATGTGTGCACCGACAAAGGCCACAATTCTCTAAGTACCAGAAATTCTTGGCTTCTATACGATTTATGCTTAACCTTTTAAACAAAAATCAAACCGAATAAGTAAAAATTACGAGTCACTCAAAAGCTCCAGAAACGACACAACTCCAACCATTGACAGTGTTGCCAATTACCAAATTTTTCTCCATATCTTCGTGTTTTATTTGCACAGCAGCACAAAAGAAATGAAATATTTGTTTGGCAATAAAAAAGCAAATGAAAAGTAAAATCAAATTGCACAAATAATAAGAATAAAGTCGAATTCTTGTCTTTGTGTATTTTTTATGAAAATTTGAGATCTTTTATTCCCAGAACAATACTTTTATGATCTCTTCTTGTTATGTTTTATTTTTGGTTAATTTTTATATATGCATTAAGTAAGATAAACAAAGCTGTGGGTTTGGTAATACTTTTTATTGGCGCACAATTCGAAAATAAGTATGAAGTTAAACCAAGAAGTGCGAATCCTTATTAGATTGTAACAGCAGTTATCTTCATTTTACTTAGAAGGTAAGTGCGAACTTGAACTAGAAAATTCTTATTGATTTAACACCGCACTTTGATGGTTTATTTTAATTCCCAATGGTTATGATGTGATATAGCATTAATTTTAGAAAAATAGTACATACAAACCATTATTATGGGAATTGCAGATTGTAAACCAAATCAGTGTAGATAGATTTTTGTTTTGATAAAGTAGAGATCAAGTCATCCAAATCAACAGTAACGTCTCACATGACCGGAATACAAATACAGAATACAAACTACTGACAACAGCAGTCTAACCTGATGTTATAGCCCATCGCTTCATTTTGGGGAGCTTAGAAAAACCCTCCCCCTCGAAAAAATAGTCATTCATATTATATATAATAAGAATAATAAAGTCTTAAGGTCTTGTGCAAATATATTAAAAAGGTTTCAAAAACGTAACGTATTAATTAATATTTTTATATGAATCTATATAATGCAACCCTTGCATGTCTCCAATATATATATATACATGTATTTTTTTTAAGTAATGGTTAATTTTGCATGTCGGTGTGAATAAAATTTTATTATTCCGCACAAAATTATAATATATTTATATATAGCATATTGTTTTTTTTTATATATTTTGATACATTTTTTTTCACTTTTATAGCCATCAAGTTGTCTCTCCGATAAGGAAGAAGATGAAATTTATGGTTTTGGTTATGGTGTCTTTGCGCCGCGTGTTGCTCGTGGTGCTTTAACCCAACAACAACAACTAATACAGCAACATACCCTACAACAACAACAGCAACTGCAACAAAATCAACAACAGCCACAAACACAAATACCAACAGTGCCAGGTAGTCAACAACATCAACTACAACAATTACAACAGCAACATCAACAAAGTTTGATGGCACATCAAACACTCCCGCCAAATGCAGCACACTTAAATTTTGTACAACAAAAGTAAGTTATCTAAATATATAACAGAAGTCTTCTAATATTAATCTCTAATGATAAGCCAACTCTATTCTTGTGACTGTCTTTCAAAACCATTTAAAAAACCTCCAAAAATTCTGAGCAACATTTATCTTAATTCTTAATAGCATAATTATAAAGCCATACATATCAAACTACATGAACTATCCTACTAAACTATATTTATATGGAGTACAAAGTGAACCTCTTCACTTCACTCACTCAATCAGTGCTCAACTGAGCTCAGATAAGCACATTAAATTAATAAATGTCGTATGGCAAGCTAACAGCATCAAAAAAAAAAAATATAATTAAGGAAATGAAAGGAAGAAAAAAAAATAAATAAAACATAAAAAAAGAAAATAAATAACATATAATTTCATTAAAAATTTGAAATAAATACCTTCATAAAAAAAATTTTAGTTATTAATTTCCTGTTAAATTAAGAGAGACAAATCTCATCCACAAATAATAATAGTTTAGATTTTTAAAATTATTGTAATGTTGCCAAGAAAAATTTTTAAATTTAATTTATTTAATTATTATATACTCAATTAAAATAAACAATATGTTTTTTTCTGTTATTTTCATTTGCAGTTGCCTAAGTCCTAGATCTGCGTATTTTTACGAATTTCCACCTAATGCAGGTAAGATGATTACACTATTAATATATATAATATGTAAGATACATAAATTACTTTCAGAGATTAAAAATTAAAAAAATTTAGACTTTAAATTTTTTCATTTATAGCTTTTCAGTTTTTTTTTTTCTAATTAGTTTTTTATTTAATTTTTAGAATAATTTCTCTAAATGCAAATTTTTTGTACTAAAAAATAATAATAGAGTAATAATAAAAAAAATTGTAGTACTTAAATTATATATATCTTCATAAATATATACATATATAGGGAATTTCATATAAAGTGGATATTGCACTTCAATTTTGAGAAACTATAGCTCGGCACTTAGATCTTAAACAACAATATATCTATAATATAAATCCATATATATTATAGATTAGTAAATACATTATACATCGTATATATTGTACACATTATATGTCTGTAATATTTAAATATTTTTATAATGTATGAGATAAGAAATGTTTAAGGAAAAAATCATAATATATTGTATATATGATATGATATGATATATTATCATATTTATATTATCCACTTGATATAAAATATCACTTTAACATATTTTATAAAATAATTTTATTTAAACAATGTTTAATTATCTATTTTTTAATTCCGATATTTTTCTCAATATTTTAGAAGGTCGCGAGACCAAAAAGCGTACAACACTAGCAAGACTTCTCAAAGGATTAAAGACAGTAAATCGTAGAGATAGAAATAATCAACAAAATGCTGCTCAAGTAAGGGTAAGTTTTTTTACTAGCAATTAACTGATCTCCAAATAAATATTTATTTCCAATTTATATGTACAAGTATATAATTTATTAATAAATTAATCGAATATGTTGTATGTTAGGAACACATATCTGATAATATTACCCTAATTTTAGTTATTTACCTATTAGTACCTATTTATTTACGTATTTAGTTATTACCTAATACACTCAATTGTGTATTCAGTTCTTATATAAATGTGTTTCATGATTATTAATAACAATTTGGGGGCGAATGCTTTCTTAACCACATCCTGCTTTCTTGACCACATCCTGCTTTCTTAACCACATCCTGCTTTTTTAACCACATCCTGCTCTCTTAACCACATTCTGCTTTCTTAGCCACATCCTGCTTTCTCTTTCTCTAACCTTTACCAATTTTTCTCAATCTTGTATATCTGACTTTTTAAATTTTTAAATACATTATTGTCTTGTTAACTAGTTCCCGAAATACTTCTACGTAGTTTCATTTAAGTTATTATAAAAAATTTTTCGGTACCTTACGTACCGAAATGATCTAATAATAGATCACTTGATCACAACATTAGAACAAGACAAAACATTACCCCTGAAGATGTTGGAAAAAAATAACCACCAAATCATGGATGAAAAAAATCAACTCAATTGATTTCTATTTACATCTCTTATAATAAAAGAATAATTTAAAGAATATTTCTGTTTAATTAATTGCTGTGAGCATTCTCCGTGTGACTAGGTAATCTATCCGTTGCTAGTGTAATTAAACGTTATATTAAAATATCAAAGTATCAAACATAATTTGTACTTGCTTACTATACTTATTTACCACTGTCTTTAATTGTATTCAATACGAACTTTAAATAAAAATAACGTCTATATTAATATGGACATTATTTACATTTACAATTCTCAATCAGTATAATTGAAGAAAGTGTTAAAAAGTAGTAACAATGATTAAAATATTGATTTTAATATTAATTTTAATGTAATATATTTTTTATATATCCGGCTTTAACCTCAGTCTCAGCCTTAGCCACGGTTGCCACTTGAAAATTTTTTTCTGTACCAAAATTGGTTTAAAAAGGTACCATTTCTGTAAAAAAAGGTCCAAAATTTTTCTATTGTCTTTTTATAAGAAAATACAATTTATATAAAATGTACAAAAGTATAAAACAATACAATATCCACAATAAAGTTGGGTCGCCGAAAATGTACCATTTTTTGAACATGAGTACCAGAGTACCAAATGGAAAAAAAAGTACCAATTTTGGTACTAAAGTACCATAAGTGGCAACCGTGGCCTTAGCCTTAACATCTATCTCCAGTAGACTAAATAAAAAAATTATAATTTAAAGAATATTTCGTTTCAACAGAAATATATTTAAGTAGATACGCTGTACTAGGGACTAGAGTTAAATAGAATTTGAAACCTTTTTAATTTGGATTTCCTGGTTTAATTAATTTAAAAGAGTTAGCCACTTTTTAATACATTTTTATGTGACGTTTCTAATTGTGTTTACTGTGTCTATCAAAGCTTTATTGGTTAAACTATTTTGTGCCATCAATAATTTCAGTTTAGTGAATGGTTAGAAATCTCACTTAATCAAATCAGGTGAATACGAGATATAATGAATAAAAATATGCTCTTTTTGGTGTATTGAATATGCTTGCAATATGGTTTTGTGGGATGATTTATTATATTATTATCAAAGAACAGTTATTATCTTTTGTGGAAATCTCAGAAAATATTCTACAATCATTATCTGACCTTCTGAGATGAATTCACTGTACACGAGTCTCCTTAAATCGAAAAAAATATTTGTTAATTTTGGCCTCTTGAAAACTGAAAAAATGTACTATCTTTTGACTATTCTGGTGATTAGCATATACCTTTTTCAGTTTTCAATGGTTTACTTGCTTGAGGGATTACTTCGAGATATATTTAACATGTCTTTGCAATACTAATCTTTCCACTTTATTTGGTTTAATTTTGGATACGGCACGCTCACAGACCTTACGTTACTAATGGATCTAGTTACACCGTCCTTATCTTCAAGATTTTTACCATCATCATGGAATAAATTAAACCAATGAATTTCATTTGTTTCCATATGTATTTTTTGGCTTGTCGTGTACACCTTCAATCTATTTATAAATTAACTAATGGATGTCGGTATGTTAAGAATTTGTATGGACTTAATCTCATCAGATCTGAACTGAACTTACAACTTATAATGCTATTAGGTAGAATAATACAGATATTATATTTAAAATATAAATATATTTTGCAAATATAAATGGAATCAATATAGCCGAAGTTATAATCAGGAATATTGTCCAAAAGAATATTGTAACATTCAAAGAAAGTATCTGAAAGAATGCTTCGTTCTTATTTAGAATTTTTCTTTTTTCAATATTTCTTTCTTTCTTTTTATAATATATTTTTTATTTTTTTTTTTATTGCATCATGATCATCATCAGTTCCTGTATCTCATATTAGAGCATAGGGCCTCAATAAAGCACTTTCATCTGATTCTGTTTATCGTCGAAATCGTCAGCTTGTTTCACGTTTTTCCGAACTCCTCGATTTTCTTTTGCAATATTCTTCTGAATGTATTTTTAGGACGTCTTCTTTTACGGCTGCTATAGTTCCCATATATAATTTTTTTAATATATAAATAACATAACAAATTTTGTTATTTATCGTAATTTTTACTATTTTATGCTAAATTTATTGTATATATCGCGCTTAACTACAAATTGTTTAACATAAGTTTCCTAACTCCTTGACGAGGGAGAGTCATATTTTTTATGACCATATAAATATTTCATCCAAAATTCTGTAGTCTTTCTTTGGCTGCAATTTTTGGAATTTTTTTTTCGTTTTGCTCTTTTGAGACAATTTCGGTTGCTTTATTCTTACAGGAATTTCTCTTTTTTTATAACTTATTTTTATATTATTTTTATTTTGTTATTTAACGTCCTTTTCTTGCCGTGTTTAATCTTAACCCTAGGGACATGTAAATTTTTGTTACCACTCCTGCAGCAACAATACAAAAATAAAAGAAAAAACAAAAAAAAATAAAATAAAATAAAATCAACAGCATCCTTGCAATGTAAAGGTTAAACGCGTTGCTTTTATCTACTGCGCGTACACAAAGGATTTATTCAGGACACTGTTTGTCTTTGATTAGACCAACCATTGGGGTGATGACGTTGGTGTTAAATGCTTTCATGTAACAAGCGTTTTTGAACTTGCTTAGAAAAATTATAAGAAATCCAAAGAATGTACGGAGAGAGTTATGCAGGAGGAGTAAGGTCGCCTACTCCAAGACCAACACCAAGACCAAGGAAATTCAAGTAAATAAAACAGTACAAAAAGTATATAAGATGAGGTTGAAGCAAATTCCGTACTGGCAGATAAAAAAATGTGTGCTTAAACGCACGTAAATTACTTGTAAGATGCACGCCTATTTCCTAGATAAGAAATTATAAAAAAAAAATTTCTTAATTTGACTCGGGGTTTTTAGTATACAAATTTTCCAACTTTAGCTATGAACTTAAATACCCAACGCCAAAAAAAAACGAGAAGATTTTTTTTAAATGAAGCTATTTCAGCTTCCGCTTTAGTGGAAGAGTACGAGTACCTTGTGGCAGCTGAGTTGGGATATAAATTTTTAATAATTTTTTGATATATAATTAAAAGCAAAAGCTGCTGTGTTTCATCAACAGTAGCTCATAAAAAGTATAAAGAATGTTGTGATTTGATATTTATGATAAGAAAACAAAACCAACAATCACATTAGTTAAGCAGATATCCTTTTATTCTTTCGTTCTTTACATATTTTCGTACAAAAGAGGCACAAGGAAATAAAGAAATGTACTAGGTAAGGGGCTTATGTGAGAGGTTGGAATTGCTTACTTAAGAAAAAATTACAATGCACAAGGAAGAGCAGAAGTGAAGAAAAAAATTAGGTTTTCCTGAAATGGCAAAAGGATTCATTAATTCTGCCAGCCGTAAACCACAAATAGGATTAAACTTAAGTATAAGTCCGAAACGGTTGCGCTGCAGATAAACAACCACGGCGCTTACCTTTGTCTTATTTATTTTAATGAAATGTTATTAATTAAAAACTGAATGAAACCGAAAAAAGTTTACTTTAAAAGTGCGAAAAATGCTACTGAAATGTGTGAGAACTCGTAAATGTTTTCCACCGATTTTGTATTTTATATTTCAGTAGTGAACGATAAAGCACGTATTGCCATCTTTTGTTCCTCGAGGTTCACTTTAATTTATTCCTGATTTACGAGCTGTTGTCATTTTGTGACTTGTTATCTTAAAGGTAACATGGGTATTATGTTTCCTTATTGAAAATCATTGAAATAATTCAAAAAATTTTTATTTGAGGTTGAAGTAAGTTTTATGTTTTTCAAGGAATTTTTTTTTGGTACATTGTTTATGGCATACAAGATATAAGTATGGTATGTTTATCTTTGAATTAATGAGTTGTTATAGTAAAAAAAAATTTTAAATTATTTTGAAAGTTTTCCTTAAATTTAAAGTATACTCAGTGTTTTCTAATTCTTCCTTATTCTTCCTTATAAAAGTTGTTAAACATTAGAAAAATAAAATGAAAAACGATTATGAAAAAATCTTCAATAGAGTAATTACCGACACCGATATGCCTACTATATTGTCATCCTTATAGTTTGAAGGCTATAAGTTTAAAGTGACTTATAAATATATTTATAAACAGTATCTTATAAGTAGTAGATCTGTAACAGAATTTTATGTATCGATAATAGAATAAAAAAATTGTTTGATTTCGGTGCGATCCATTCAGCCAATTTTGATTTTATCGTGATTTCTAATGTGCTGATCTTGTGGAGTACTTTACTTTGACCGGAATAAAAAATAATCTAATGGAGCAAAATTTGGTCAATAGGAAGTATGAGGAATAATATTCCATTTATGTGCCTCTTATATATTTTTTAATTCTCTTACTTGTCTATTACTTTACTTACATATGATTGAACATTGTTCTGCAGCTATATCACTTTACTCTATTTCTTGATTGCAATCGGACATTTCTCGTTCAATGCATAGTTCAAATTTATCAATTGTTTGTTTCTGACATTTATCACTAACAGTTGCATTAGGTTCTAGTTGCTTATGGTACACCACTTCTTTCTGATCCAACCAAATATGCAACATAACTCTACTTCCATGAATGTTTCGGTTTGCTGTTCTTTGATGAACACTTAATTTTTTGCCTTCGGAGTTATCGTAGTTAGTCCATTTTCATCGCCAGTCACGATTTGTTGCAAAAATTTATCGTTTAGCTGATTTTCAACATAGTATTTTTTATTGAATTTTTAACAGAACTACCAGAACTGATCAATAGAAATGACAAAGTATTTTATGACAATAATCTGAGACTCATATATAAGTTGGTTAACTATGATAAAAGTAAAGTTTTTTTTATGTTCTTACCGATTTTTGGATAATTCGAATTTAAATCTGCAAACTATTTTTCCTAGATATCTGTGTCTCTGGCAATAGGGGATTAGAGTTCAAAACCTTTAAGATCGTTTTTCAGATGTTGAAAAGTAGATCTTCAAATTTCAATGGCATGAAAAGTCCTTTTGTTTTTCATCAATAAAGCATCAATAAATTAATAGAAATTTATTGCTAAATGATTTTTCCATATTTGAATATTACATATTAATATCAACTATTATATATTCGAAGTGTTATATGATCGATTTCTACAGATAATATTTTTTAAAATCTCACTTAATTTTAACGTATAAATGTATTTATATTAAATATTTATATATATATATATATATATTAATCTGATTAATGCTCAGATTTCTTATTTAAAATTACTCTAAAAATATTTTTTTTATTATTTTTAGGCGGCAAATGAACGACTGAGACATTTCCAAACAATGAATGGAGGACAACACCAAAGCTTTGAAGAGACAATCCATAGAGTAAGTTTAATAACTTAAAATGTAAAAAAATGAAGAAAAGGCATTGATGTTACTATTGGATCTAAAAATACGTGATTTATATCTAATTGTTACTATTATTATTAATATTTTTGCTACATACAGTAATTTTGATGCCTTTTCTTAAACTTTTAAAAATTATTAAATAAAATATCATAATTGAGATAAAAAATGTATTATTTGAAAACATGAAATTAAAATGTTATTCTTAGTAAGAATTTATTCAGTACTTTCTCAAGTACTCCTGTACTTCATACCATTAAAATATATAAAGTATTATTTGAAAAAATGAAATTATATATTATTAGTAAGAATTCCTTCAGTATTTTCTCATATATTCCTGTACTCCATACCATTTTTAATAAAAATCTTTCGTTAGCAAATTCAATACTTTTTCGCAACATTGCGTATGCAAATCCTTATAAAATTTAGCACACCACACTGGGCATGCAATCGCCAGAGACAAATAAATATTTATGCTTTCCTTTAAAGTTCAAGCCAACGGCTGGTGTTATTATAAAACATTGAGTGTATGCTCTGCACTGAATTGGTGTCCCCATCCACCTCCTATGGGATATGTTTTTCAAATATCGCCTACTCCGGATGTGCATAGGTAAATTTTTAAACAAAGTTTTTAATACAACAACAGAAGCGCGCTTAATGACAGTCCTAGCACAAGTGTTGCCACACTAAACAAAACAAATGCAACAAAAAAACAATAAAAGATTAAAAACAATATCGACAGCAGCTACGGCATTCACGTTGAATTTATAAAAAAAAATATTCTTAAAAAGTTCATTGCCGTCGACATTCATTATTAATGACAACGTCATCTTTTATTATACGGATATACTTGGAGAGGAAGATACAGGGGATGTGGTTCCAGCAACAAATTTAACGTTAATAGTCGAACTCTTGTGTATCAGTTCCTTGCGCCATTTATAGTAGGAAGGGAGTATATGCAGCAACAGTGTTGCCTTTAATAATATTATACTTGTACTGTACAGTACTTTATTTGTTATTGTAGTAGTAAGTGGTGTTGCATATATTATGCATATTTGTTAAACTAAAACAATTTTTTACCTTCTTTTCTTCATGGACTTGTACTTTTTTGGGCGCAAATAAGACGGAGACCCATTAAAGTTTTGCTAACAACGGTGCCACATTTGCAAAGCAGATTTTGGTATTGTGCACCTTAGTTTTTGCATAAATAAGTTGTGCCCAAAGTTATGCTCCTGCTGGTGCCAGCGCTTCTCCAGCTCCAAACTCCAGCTGTTTCACTGTTGGCGTTTTGATGGCATCTATGTTTTGTTGTAATTTTTTTAATGTGCTCAAGATATTCTGAAGCGTTTGCTGTTGTTTATCTTTAGGTAAAAAACTACAAAAACTTTTAGCGGCTGTCATTTTGTTGGTTCATTTTATTTGCTTAATATTTTATTTATTTTTCGTACTAATTTGCCTTGCAACACCTAGCACATAGCATAGAGTAAACAGTTGGGAAAAAAACTTATTGCCTAACATGTTCACAAAAATTATGCTGTGCTATGTGCCCGCCTGGTGCTACTTTGCTGCTAACTTTCAGTATTGCTGCTTCGTGGTATGCTATGACTAAAAACTGTTTAAAAAGTTTTGCTAAATTCAAACAGTTTTTCCCTAAAGTTTGTTTCATTATTTTTATTTTTTTTTTTTTTTTGTTTTTGTGTTTTTATTTATTTTTGTTTAAATTTTGTCAATTCATGCATGCAAGAACGGTACTTAGTCATTTTACATACATATTTTGCCACTTATTAGCTCTGTTGTTGCGGTTGTAAGAAGGATGTTGCAGCAACTTTGTTGCTAAGCAAAACTTTTTACCAAAATTATTAGTAAAATTTTCATACTCTGTGTTCATGTTTTCATCTTTCTTGTACAGAAAGAAGCCCTTAAATGTATGTGAGTACTTAAAAACCGTGTTCCACATGTTAAGATAAAGTTGCATTATCATTTTTGTGCAATATTCAAAATCTTGACAGATTCTTTTTACTTCATACACTACACTACACTTAAGTGTGTTCAAATATTAAGTTTAAGAATAAAAAATTTGCCTGGCAGAAATGGCAGTTAAATAAGAGAAATAACTTTAACAACAATTTTAATTTATTCTTTCATTTCATTGACGTTCAAACTGAAGCAAGTTATTTTTCATTTATGCACTAAAAACTTTTACTTAAACTTATTTGGGTAATTGTTATCATACAAAAATTTTATCTTTATTGCAGTTAAAAGTGCAAGAAGCTATGCGCAAGAAGGAAAAATTTCAACGTGAACATGAGGAGGTAAGTTTGAAGTTTGAAATATAAAAATAGTATTAAAATTTTACAATAAAAATAACTAATAAATATTCTAGTATAACACAGCATGTGAGTTTATTAATGAAATTTCACAACAAATTAGGAAAACTGAAAGTTTAAAGTATGTAAGTCAGTAAGTGGTTTTCGGTCAGTTTTGATTAATTAACATTAATACTGAGTTTCGAATTTGGTAAAAATTATTTACGAATATTTATACACAAGAAATATTACCAAAATGACTATCGCTTATAGCAATTTGCCAATACTTAAAACAGTTTTATGGTTAGCCAATAATTCAATTAATTAAAAGTAATAAAATTTTGTTGTTTCGCTACTATTTTTAAAAATATTTTATTAAAAATAATGTATTTTATACAATATTATACAAATGGAGAAAAATAAAACTAAAAAATATGGGTGATAAAATTTGCTATTATGAGTTTTTTCTATAAATAAGTCTATCCATCACTGAAAGACCTTTAAATATAAGCAACAAAACAAAGCTATATGAAAAAGTTAAACTCTTTCGTTTCTTCTATATTCTGCCAAATTTTTATAATTTAGTTTTGCATATCTATTCTACCCAGGGGCAACCCTATCAGTAACTCTAAATTATATTTATTGTTAATTTTTTCTTGCCGAGAGTAATATCTTTATGACGAAAAGAAACTTTTTAAAAGCTAGACGGGTTCGAATAGCAAAGAAAAAACAAGGACAAAAAATTTTATTTAATTTGCCAAGTACTCATCGTTAGTAGTCTTAGGAAATATTCGAATTTCTTAATTAGTTTATAGTCTGTATATAATTTCTTTGGACTGCAAGTGCCAGGCTTAGAACTTGTGCCCGTCGTATTTTTCTTTATGTACCCAAGCTTGCACAAACTTTCATTGCTCAAGTTCCAAGTTTTTTGTCACTTTTTATTTAATTAGTGACACTAACCAAAGCACTTGCCGTGCTTTATAAATAAGAACGAGCTTATATACTACAGCTTTATTTAGAAACACAGTTCAACGAATTGAAAATGAATTTCTAAAGTTCCCTATTTTTGTTTCAAAGATATATATTTAAGTTTATAATTTAATGTGAAAAGAAATATATTTTTCGTTATCAAGTTTAAGCAGATTATGGTGTAGTTCGTGTACATCCTTCAGTTAAAACATAGAAAGAAATATAGATTAAAACTATTATTTTTATTAACAATACTACGAGGGCGGTTTGATAAGTCAGTGACTTTTTGAATTTCCCGCGCAGTTACTCCAAATGCACCAGTGCTGCCGTCAACTGTAAGCTACGTCGTTCAGTTTGTGTTTGATAGCCGTTCAAACAGACAACCTCGTGAATTTTTACGAAAATGCAAAAAAGTGAATTTCGTGTGCTGATTAAGCATTCGTGGTCAAAATCCACGAATTGGGATACGCATTGCTACCCCATCCAGCATATTCTCCAGATTTAGCCCGCTGCGACTATTTTCTGCTTCCAAACCTGAAGAAATGGCTGGGCGGTAAGAGATTTGAGTCGAATGAAGAAGTCGTTACCGAAACAAACGCGTTTCGGTAGCTTTGCGAAAACCTATTATTTGGAGGGAATAAAAAAAATGCTGGACAAAATGTATCGAGCTAAAAGGTGATTATGTAGAAAAATAATAAAAAAATGTTTATTTGCTGAAAAAAATTTGTTTTATTCAAAAAGTCACTGACTTATCAAACCGCCCTCGTATTATTTAGAAAACTACTAAATTTGTACATATATTTATAAACCATATTACATATTTTACATAGCTTCCAAATTACTTTAGAACTTAGCTTCCAAATTATGTCATACAATTTTTTTCTGATTCTTCTTATAAATCATCCATGGCTGGCAGTTTCTTAGCTTTTAGTGGTTAAATTACATGTTCAATTTTAGTTCTCAATATTATTAGATTCATCGTCACTACTATAACATTAGTTGTGGTCGTTTTTGAAAGAATCAATATAATAATACTAACACATTTTCGCATAGCTCTCTAGATAAGTACTGTGTTGTCCTTAAACATCAGTAATTATTTCCAAATGTGATTTAAATATTTGTTTGAGTTATTTCACAGTTTTGAAATATATTTATAACTTTAATTACTAGAAATTTCTAGAAATTTACAGTAAATTTCTAAATTATCTGAATACTAACCACAGCAAATATTAAAATATTTCTGCTTTCACATGAAATACTCATTCACACATTAATGACATTCAGTGAATTTGGAAACTGGACGTATGATGAACATTAATTATTCATACACATTAACTATCCTTGCTGTGATATTTATCATATAAATGCCTGAAATATATTTGATGTAAGCAAAGTAAATTACTTAGAATGAAACATACTCAATGTTAAACACATTTCTACATATAAAAGCAATTTGCAAGTGTACGTAATGAAATCCTTTTAAATTTATATGAAGTCACATTATTTCACCTGAGTGCAAATAACATGACAAATTTTCACTTTCTACACACTCTACACACACAACAACACAAAGTACACACACAAATAAATTATTTTACTTGCTATGCATGCCATTAACTGCAACCACATACTAAACCACATACACAACACAGCAACAAATAACAACAACAACAATAACAGTAGCAACATTTACACTAACATACAATATTTATTCACAGAGCTGTGTTTATATTTTATAATAAATACTCGTATGTATTCACATTACACTTCAATGGCGTTAAAATATAATAAAGCATTTATTTTACTTACAATTACACAAAAAACACAAATAACACCACAAATACTCACACTTACACATACACTCAAATGCACTAAAGGATGGTTACTCTTAACAATGGTATGAAAATGTTGGCTAGCATTATTGTGTTTGTGTTTGTGTAATTGTGTTTTGTGTAATGACTGCCTATTGTCTGCAACATTATTTACAGCTAAAAATGCATGAAAATGTGTTTTATTTTTAACCAAAAAAGTGCTAAGCTAATAGTGTACACTGAACATACTTTAGCACACAAATACACACACACTCACACACTCAACTCAGTCATGGTTTGTTAGTTTGCTTGGTAAGCATTGTAATGGATGCTGCAACTTAAGTATAACAGAATATCCTTAGAAATAAAGTATTTACCAAGGACATTGCTGCTTATCTGTCTACGTATAAAATGTATGTATATATCACATTTTATGTATTGCTAGCACAAATTATAACTAAAGATTTTGTTTAATAAAAGAGAACTCATTTAGGGCACCATTATTGCATTGAAGTGTAGAGTTTATTTAATAGAAGCTGAAAGTCAGAAAGTCCTTGAATTTGTTTGAAGAGAAATATATGTTTTGAAATTTATAATAATATATTTAAAATATTTGAAATAAATTTATTTTTAAATCTAATCTAAAGAAATCTATTTCGAATATTACAGCATGTAATAGTGAAGAAATTTAATTATGATTAATTAAGGAAATTTAATTAAGGAAATTCTTTGGCTAAGCTTGTAGCTATTGTTGAATATTTAATTAAAAATATTTTTGTAATTAATTTTAAAACAAGCAATGGTTTTGTTTTATCCTTTTCAGTAATCTATTTTTCTATAAAAGAAGACTGTAAGTTAAATATCTTATAATTATAATAATCGAATTTGAAAATGAAAATTTATTTTAATAAATAAATAATTTTAAAATTAAAATAACATGTATTTCGTATTACTTTAAATAAATTTGTGTAAGTGCAATATGTAACGATATAGGGATACATCAAATAAAACATTATTGTAGAACTTTAAAAAATAATCAAAACATAATATCTGCTTGTACTATGTATTTTGCACTAATATGAAGTGTTTTGAATTCCACCACTAATGAAAAATTTAGCTCCACTAATTAGCTAAAAATAGTTAATTATGTTATTATATATTATGCTATATATGGCTAATTACAATAATCTCCCCTATAATGCGGTACCTTTTTAACGCCTTTTCATTATACGCGATTTCAATCCTCAGTATAACATTAACATTCCCCCATATAACGCGGGGATTTGTACCGTTCATAATTAGCTTCGCAAACCTTTGCACGTTTGTATACGGGATGTACGGGAATACCCCTAAAACGTGTTTCCCTATAATGCAAAACGAATCTACCGCGTTATAGAGGGGATATATTCATTAGTCAAATTTTACAACTGATCCAACACGACCAACACCCAAGCTATCAAAAGATATTTATCAAGAGATAACTAAAAATCATTTAAATGAGGTTTTGAAATTATTTAATAAAAACAGGTTTTGTACAGGCACTCGGTGTTCGGCTACCACATGAATTAACGTAGAGAAATTTGATTAGTCAAATTAAGTTATGTGAATCGCTGCTAAAACGCAAAGAAATCGCGATGAAAAATTGATTAAATATGACAATATGCAATGCAAGTAATTTGGTTAATAGCCGATGATCCTCCACAAACGACTTCAAAGCCTGAATTGACAACACACAACGTTTTGTCGAATGTTTACGAGATAGAAAAAAATTGGTTAATTCAAACTGCTCCAGCCCGGCCTAGTACAGCAGTAAATTCGATAATGTTTGGACCGCCGAAATGACACAATTAATGAAAGCTAACAGAACTAGCCAACAGAAAAACTGTCGAACCATACACATCTTTGATGACTCGGAACTAATTAAAGAAGCTTGATTTGAAATTTTAGCATTTCAACGCTCGTTCTTCTCTCTTCCTCTCTTTTTATCTCTTTCTTTCTCTCTCTCTATCTCTTTCTTTCTCTCTCTCTCTCTTTCTTTCTCTCCCTCACTCTTTCTCCTTCTCTCTCCTTCTCTCTTTCACCTGTTCTCTCTCTCATTCTCTCTTTCCCTCTCTCTCTCCATTTCTCATTTTCTCTTTCTGTCCCACTCTCTTTCTCACTCTCCAACTCTCTCTGGTTTAAAGAGCCATGTCAATCTTTTCGCTGATAAGCCAGTTAAGTTCTACAGCAATGAAATTATTAAGCTCCCCGAAAAATGGCAAAAAGCCATAAATAATAATGGACAACAATTTGTTAATTGAATCTTACCTTCAATTAAGAAAATTTTTGTTCACAAATGTATCAAAAAACCGCAAATCCTTACCATATTACCAATATTTGGTCCTTTTATTCAAGTCAATGTTACTCAAATCAATGTTAGCTATAATAGGCCCAATATTTTATCCTCTAACTAGTGACATTAAATCCCACCAAATATTTCAATTGCTTTCAGCACAGGGCTGGGCATGGAACATGTCCTGAACCTAACATTCTTTACTTTCGGATATGTTGAACCGTGAATATGTCAATTATTATTTTAAAATACTCCAAATGAATAAATCAGATATATGAAAGTTATTTTGAATTCTTGCTATGATTATTATATGATTATATGATAACTTTAATCAAGTCCCATAAAGCAACAGTTCCTATTGACGATATTGTTTACAGTACTATCACAATAACATTTACAACCAGTTTTCAAGTTTTTAAAGCAGTCAACAATACTGCAAATGAAAGCGCTTTATCCGGTATCCTTAAAGCATCCTTTGCGCAAATATAACAGAGCAAATGATTATAATTGTTATTTTTTCTTTATTTGTGTGTTTGCTATTCCTATTGTATCCATTTGTTATACGGAATAGACAATATATATTCACTTACAAACACATACCGTACACCCCTTTAGCAAAATAAATAAGCAAAACTGCAAATACATATGTCAGAGACACAGTTAAATTGTCATTGAGGCATTTTATGTGTACTTTCTGTTGGAACATTTTTCCTTAGTATATATTTGCCATAATATATCCTTGTACCTTGCAATGTTTAGCACACATATAAAATATTTATTTTTCTACAAATGAGTGCAATTTGCTGTTCCATTGTTTGGTCAGTAATTATGCAAAAGGTGATTGGACGAGAGACTGGTCATAAACCAGACGGAGCTGAAGGAAGAGTAACACTTCAAAGTTGAGAAAGTGACTGCATACCAAATGACACTCGAAATTTATATTAGCACAGCGCTCTGGGGTAGTAAAATAAATTTTATAGATAAAAAGTCAATCTTCTTTATTAATTATTTACTTTTTACTCCTGCTTAAGCCATATAATAGTAAAAATTGGCATAAATAAAACAATAGAATCACATAAATCCGCAAACTTACAAACTCAGTTTGAGAGTAAATTAGGATTTGAATGCATTTTTAATGCAGGCAAAAAGCTTTTAGCTAATTTTTTGTATACAAAATGCACAAATAAATGCACATAAATATCCTGCATCCTGATACGTAAATCTAAATATGTTCGGGCATGTGTGAGATTTTTGGTTGTGTATTCTGTTTTATTTTACAAATTAAAATTCAAGGCACATTCACTATTATGTTTCATGTTTTATTGTTGCTTATGTTATGCATTGGCACTAAGTGAAAAATAAAATTGTACGTTTCAGTTTACAAAATGGAATTTTGTAGTTTGTAGTTTATACTTTTAGCTTCAATGATGCAATATAAAGTGCAACAGTAATGCAACAAGAATAGCAGCAGCAACAACAAAAACAACAACAATAATGCTAACAACAACTATATACTCAGAAGACAACATCACAACAAACCAATTGCCTTAAGCAACAACACATCACAACTCAACTCCAAAGGCTACTGCCTGCCTGCTATGACCGAAAGGATATTTTCTAGTCAGTCATGTTGTTCCACACAAGCATTGTTGTTGTCCTTTTTGCTGTTGCTGTTGCTGCTGCTACTGCTTCTTCTAGTGCTGACTTCATCTAATAAGGCAGGCACTGACTTTAGCTACTTGCTGATAACAGTCACGTATGTTTCTGGAAATTCATTTCGAACTTCATATGCGAGTGTTGCTGGTACCTGTGTTTCTGGACAGGATACACACACTCTTATTTACTTGGTTTTCTGCAAGAACTGCAACAAATATAAATAAATTTAAGCTATTTCATATTAAAAATCAATTTTATTTCAATACTGATTGAAGGAGAAATAATTTCAAACTAATTCAATTTTATTTCTTCAAGCAAAAGCTGTAATAATATTTTTCAAAGTGAATTACGTGTAGCAAATATGTATTTTTGTATAGATACAATACATATGTTATATAGTATATATTAAGCAAGAGTTTTTTTGCATTTTTAAAAAATTTACAAATATTTTTCTTATATTTCAGATACTGCGTGATATACGGCAAGGACTTTTACAAATGAGTCGTGAAGGAAGAATAGGTAAGTTCTATACTTAAATTATTGGTTAGAATAATTTTCAGAACCACTTTAGTACAAAATACATATTAGACAAATAAGTTAGAAACTATTTAATGCACTAAAGATTGATATATGAGTTCAAGATATTTTTTTGACATACGACGCGCCTTAGGCAAACCTTCAAATATTTTTTATATACACTAATTTAGATAAGGCTTTCTATTCCTACCAGGAATATTTTTTTTATAATGGTAATTGACTCGAAATATCACCTTCGAAGTGTTCATATTACCATCAGAAACAGAAAAACGTCACACTGGGTTTTGTTAGGTGGATGTGACATTTGCTTGAACACATTCATTAAATTATTTCCTAAAAATTCTGCACAACATTGGATTTGTACAATCGCGGAGCACTCTACAGTATAACTGCAAAAACTTTAGATCTAAATACTTTGAACAAAATAACACGTTTTAATTTCGCATGTTAACACATTGTAATGTTAGACTGCATATTTCCCTCTCGTTTTTCAAATTATAAATGTCGTATATTTTTCCCAAAAAAACATTTCTTTAATTGAGCTTTTATCGACTACGAACTTTTGTTTTTTCAAGAAAGATATTCCACAAAAAGACATAAGGTATACATAGCTTAATTAATATTCCAAAATTAACTCCATGATTCATAGTGATATATACGAAATCTAGTTCAAAAATGGGTTAACAATATGAAATAAAACAGCTAAGCATATTAAAAAACGGAAAACTCATAATCATAAAGAAAATCTTGATATTAAAATTAAATACAAGACACTGAATTAAAGACACAACATATTATATATACTATAATATAAATAAAGTGAAGAAGAATTATAAATATAGTATATTATTTTATAATTACTAAAAGTAAAGAATACACATTCTGTGTAAATTGTATTATAGCCGTAGTTCCGAAGGAAAATTTGGTTTACAAAAATTGTACACCTATGAGTAGTCTTTGTTTGGAAGACTGTACTCTTTATTTATGTATAAAAAATTAAAGTTTTATTTAAGCATAAAAATACTTAAAAACTCTTCTCTACTTCGTTATTTGAAAAATATTTTTTAAAAGATATTTTATAATATAAAATTTCGGCTTGCTTAAAAAATATACTGAATGCAATGGAAACTAACGAAACAAAGAAATATTTTTATAAAATATTAAAAGTAATAATAAGTAAAATAAAAGTATTCAAGGAGGAAAAAAAAGCATAAATATTTCAAACTTTTTTTTACTAATTTAAAATAACTTTTTTTTCTCAAATTTCATGGCACAAAATTTTCTTTGCTTGAAGTTGTGTTGTGCCTTTTGTGAATTATTTGTACTCTTTTCGGTTGCATTGCAAATGCTACTACCGTAAAATGCAGCACTGCGCTGTCGTCTGCAACTACGTTAACTCTCATGCATAAGTGAGCAGAAAATGTTATGTCCGCCTTTTAAAAAGTACTCCCGTAGAATCACACATGCAAATCTACTCACACAGCACACACACAACTGAAATTATTTACTCATATTCGTATGCATGCTAATGTTTCACAAAAGTCGACTAGCAAAATTTTTTATTGTTAAATTTTGTATCCTTTACTGCTGTTGTTAGTGCTGCTGTGCAATTGCAGTTGCAAAAAAAAAGGATAAAAGTTTTCGTGCAACAGCGCGTAAAACAATATTGCAAATGTACAATTTTTGTTGCATATTTTTCGGCATTTTGACATTTAACTCAACCACTCCTCTCGACAAGCTTTTGTAATCATATGTTGATTGTCAGGAATTCATAAAAATTGCAGAGAATTTATCCTTTGTTAAAAGTTTAAATGTTGCATTTGTTTTGTTTTGTTTTGCCTTTCTTTCCTTTTTTGTTTTTTGTTTTTTGTTTTTTTGTACTGTAATTATTTCAGTTGAAAAATTTAGAAATTAAATCTACTATTTTGAATTAATTACCGTAAAATCTTTCTTAACCAATTATTAGAATAACAATTACATTAGCTAAATATAAAGAATATAAAAATTAATTATCGTAAGTGTTTGGAATATTAATTATAAGAATTTACACAACCATCCTTCCGTGTCAATGCCCATTTCTGGCTAGGAGAAGATCTAAAATCTTCAGACCTTTTTTCTTACTGGCCTGATCGAGCTGTATGCTTGTAAAGTAAGAAACTAAGGTAAATTTACAAAGCTGTTAGGTTGGTACGCCTTTACCTAATGAGAAAGTCGTTGCCTTTCGGCGTTGGTCGTACACTAACCTTCTAATCCATGTATGAAGCAACAATGGTACTACAGTGGTACTACAAACTGCCTTTATTTGAACTCATTCGATTTTCTAGGAAACAACAACGCCACTCCAACTTAACCAACTTTTCCCAACCTATTTATTGAGCTATGATATCCCTGAAAGATACTTCTTAATAATAATATTCAAGTGCTTGTAAATTTGTTTTAAATTTCTTAAGCTTACATTTTAGAACTACAACTTCATTTAGTCCTATATTGTTATTTTAGTGTTCCTACACATTAACCTCCAAATATTGTATAGTATTTAAATTTTTGTAAGTACTTTTATCTTTCCATCAATTTCTAATTTTAAACTTTTTTCTACCTTATTTATTTGTTCTAAAGGACTTTATAATTTTTATAAAAAACTATGAGATTGTATGTTAATATATGCTAATAGTTAAATAATTTTTTAAAATCAATTTCTGTATTTCTAGATGATACATATATGTATGATGATGCGGTGCGAGGTCCTCACTACGCTATTGGTGGCATACATCATCAAGGACATTGGTATGACGAACCACCATATGAAAGTGATCCAGATGACTTCTTAATGTCAGGTTTAAACTGTGGTCCAGCGGCTACAATACAGGTATATTAAGTTTATATGTGTTATTTTAATCACTTATGGATTAGTCGAATAAAGTTATTATATATATTATTATAGTTACGGATCGAATAAACAGACTATTATAGGCATATATATTTTTATATACATATATAAATATGATGAACTTAAAGTTCATATCTAAAAGGATTACATTTTTTAATATTTAGTCATTATTGCTTACAAATTATGATTTACTTATTTCTTTAAGACTACGATCGGCAGTAATAAATACCTACTAGCATGGCAAAGCTGTATTTTATTATATGAATAACTGTGTAATAGAATTCTAATATATGCTAGGATCGAAATAGTAAAACTGGGGCCAGTGTTGATAATCTACAAAGTACAATATTACTTTCAACCAGAAAAAAGGAGCTATAGAAAAGGAAAATGAAACACTTTTATAAACATTTCCAGTATTGGCAAAACTAACAAATTCCATATTGAAAGCCTACGAACTAATGAGCCGTCGGATATCCCAAAAGTAGATCTTCCAAATGTAATCGCTTTCATCAGCCTTTAAAGTCAGTTTTAAAACTTAGCATTTTATGCCTAACTGTGTGATAACTAAACCGCTGCTATTCTCTACTAGGCTAAAAAAAAGCCGAACTAGGAGCATAGAAGGAGCATAAGTGCATAGAAGAAGCAAAATTAGAAGATCATAGAAAAATAAAAGAAAAATAGAAGAATTAGAAAATACAAATAAATCTTAACATAGACGAATTTACCATAACAGCGACAAACGATTTTTGAGCTAATCGCGTTAACTGTAAGGTTACTAATATTTTATAGATTAGACTAGATGGACCTTTCAAATTTTAACAAAACTGCAGTTCATGTATTTACTAAAGTATAGTAGGGGCTATTGCACTATTTGCTATTGATTTGACGGTGCCGTATTTTAACAAGTAGATTGGGCAGAAGTTGAAAAGATAGAATCTATTAATTATTTTCTAAAATTTTGGTAAGAACTATTTACCAAGCTACTTTAATGTTTTTGAAATAGTTTATCCACTAGCTTAGCAGAGATAACAAAACTTGATTTATTTAATCTTCTTAGCCTTATCTCTTAACCACCATATGGTTCAACCAGGGTAATACACAGATTTAACGAGGATTAGTGGACCTCACCTTTCAGACTATCTGGAGGGAAACACAATGTGCAATAGATGTCTCCGATTGGTTGTATTGATCAGCATTTGTTGAATCTTCTTAGCTTTATCTCCTTTACACCACATGGTTCAACAAGGATAATATACGGAATTAACGGGGTTTAATGGACCTCATCTTTCAGACTATCTGAAGGGAATCACAATGTTTAATTTATGTTTCCGATTGGTTGTATTGGTCAGCATTTGTTCAATCTTTTTAGTTTGGTCTCTTGTGGTGTAAACATGGTTCAACAAGGATAATATACGGAGTTAACGTTGGTTGGTGGACCTCATCTTTCAGACTAGCTGGAGAGAATCACAATGTGCAGTAGATATCTCCGATTGGTTATATTGATTCAGCATGCACCCTTCTCAACTTAACCTAATCAACTATTAATTTATGACAAATTGCTTTTACCTTTACTACATAAAGATGAATAAGAAAAATTGATTTGGAAAAGTTGACATATTTGGAAAGAAGGTTTGCTTCATGTTTACTGATGCTGCTATGTCTTTCATGCCGGTAATTGTACTAAACGTCAATTATTTACTAGTTTCTAGCAACCTTCACACTAACAAATATTGAATCTCAGTAGCACATTTGTCAAATTAATTGCGAAAATGTGAGCATTAAGTCTTATTTTGATATCATCACAGAGTGATATCCAAGATTGCAAAACTGATTTTTTTCTTTGTTGCATAGAATAAATTTATATGATTTTTATGTTATCTGAGATATCTCTTTCATTACATTATAAATGTCTTCACTAATCTAAAATACACTTTATTCAAATGAGTCTGAAGTGTGTAAAAATCACAGCTCGTAGAGCTCTAAAATTCAAGTGCACGCTGAGACATACTTCAAAGCTTGTAAGAGTTTTCTTGAATTTAAAGATTTTGCACCAGAAGTAAGTGATTTATGCACTTGCAAGTGGCTTTCAATACAAAGAATATTCAGATTGAAAATAGTTTTGTAAGGAATAGTAAATAAAGTCAATTTTTTTAACATGCAGTAGTTTGACTTCTGAATTTCGATAGGTTTTTTTTTATCTCAAACGAGTCGAGCAATTGAAATCAATGAAGCAATCTCTCGCAATAGAGACTCAATGCACTAATAAAAATCTCGTATCTCCACACACCCACAAAATGTATATAGTATAGTGAGTACTTGAATTTATCAATGGCGGTCTACTTATATTATTTTACAGGAAGCTGAGATATTTTCAATTTTTAAACTATATTCTCTTATCCTTTTTATGGTGCGGATTCTTCTGTCTTCTAAGCACTTTGCAAATAGACAAAATCGCTTTTTGAATTTATGCGGCACATTCGTCTTTGTTATTTTCCATGATTATCGCTGCGACTGCGTTGACGCTTGTCAATTTTACTTGCTTTATATCTTCCGCAACTTAAGAATCTTCCAGTTATCTTACAATACAGATATATATACATATCTATATTGTATGTAGAGAGTCTTGTAGTATAACGTTTTTGTAGTTGCAGTTGTTTTTTTGCCGAACTAAGCTGTTTGGCTGCTGCTTAAGTTCCTTGGTGCTTGTGCGACTTAAGTTGCATTTTTCGTTTATTTACTGATGAAGTTGCTCCATGTTTTGGTTCCTTGCCTGTTGGAATGCGGCACGCAAGTTGCTCATTTCGTTGTCTTTGCTGATTTCACATAGCGAAAGTTTATACTTTTACTCACTGGGAGTTTTTATCCTTTTCAATTTTTATCAATTTTTCTTCTTCGTTTTTGCTTAGCAAACATTTTATTAAATTATTCGCTAAATTATTTTTTGTTGTGGATTGATTTTGAATTTGTTTTCCATTTCAGTTTTGAATTTGTTGCAATCATTTTTCAATCTACAAGTACATTTTTATAGATTTTTATTAAATGTTTATTGACAAGTGAAATTGCATAATTTTTTATGAATTTTTTATCGTTGGGTTTGCATAGAAGTTTGCCTTTTTTGCGACTAACTTTGGGAATAACTTCGATTTTACATAATTTTTGAAAAGTCTTCCTTATTTATCTTTTTGCTTCGCTTTTGGCTCTTAAGTACTTTGCAAACTTGTAGATATTTGTGGCTTTTGATTTGGGTTGATTTTGTGGGTTTTATCCATTGGTTTTCTACTTCCAACTGAAATTCAATAAAATGGGTTTTACTTTGATGTCAAATTTGCTAAAATTTGTGGCTTTTGTGTGCATGTACTCTCCTATTTTGCATGTTCATGAAGGAATTCCGGAATATTAGGTTGAAAAAATTCTAAATCCTTTGCTATTAGAATTGTGACAAATTTATAATTTATTGCATTTGTTTGGTTTTATATGTAAATATAGTTTAGAATATGCTCAATGCTAAGCTGTTGCAGTTTTTATTAATTTAAATAAACTTAAAATGAAATTATTATATTTGCAATGGGACCGCATAACCTTATTTATTCAATTATATTTGATTTGAAATCAATGTGATTTAAATTAAATTTAATTTCAGTTCACAAAATTTTCTTAGAAAGAGCAATATTTACTACAGTTATAACTAAGAATTTAATAAAGTAATTCATATTTGACAGGGCAAGTGTACAACCCTTGGTATCTGCAGTCTCAAATAATTATTTACAAGAATTATTTCCAAGACCACTGGTGGTGGGTATTTGGCAATACTCGAAAAAGCTAAATGGTCAAACAAAAATTCAATTAATTAAAATAATATATAAAAAATAAGGTTTTTTGTTGTTGGAATTCACTACTTCTCGATAAAAACCTCATTATGAAATATACAGTTTCTATTAAATGTAATAGTCACTTCCGTCTTTAAAATTACATTAAATTACAACTTATAGAGTAATTTTTAAATTTATAAAATTTAATAATTTAATTAAAATTTAAATATTTATTAATTTATTAATATAATAATAATTATAACTAGTTATTACAAACAATTGTTTATATTAAAAAAATAGTTTTATTCCACATAACTGACGTTAAAAATCAATTTAATATAACCTAATATAATATTATGATAATATGATATTAAAAATCTCACTGAACCAAATTCTTCTTCCAAAATTTGTCTGAGAAAAACAGCAAATACCCACTAAAGATAGAATTTATAGGCAATAATTGGAGTGATATGTGGTCACTCTCTTTTGAACAAGCATAAACTGTGGTTAAAACCATCAAAAACATCCGATTATAGACTATTTATGAAAGAAACATATAAATATCCCATATATCTTCAGAGAATTCCCATACTTTATACTCTATAGTAGAATTATATAGTATTCCAAAAATAATTGACCCATGAATCGGTGTGGTCAAATATCGACATAGAAAGGATTAAGACTTATATGGATAGAACTGATGTGAAAGAAATATTTCAGTGACATTAAAAAAGACAAGCTACTTCTAGTTCAGCAGTGAACGCACAATCATGAAGACTTAATAGTAGGGTTCGTATAAAGACTAGGACTAGAATCCAATAAAATCATATATCTTTATGCTTAATAGTGTTATATCTTCTTTCTTTCAACGACTACTTTTCTTCCTTATACAAATATACGAATTATATATTCGAACAATATATTGCCTATTAATTTCTGATTTTCTGATAACAAAAAAAGAGATTTATATTTCAACTATATTTCGCGTTGAGAACACCTCACCATTAAGAAAAGCATTTTTTATAGTAGCTATAGAGAGCTGTCTAGTAGACTACTCTCACTCTCTCCTCTCTCACACTTCTCTCTCTGATCTCTCTTAATGTTATACAGATATTGACTGACTAAATTCAAAAATTTATTATCCAAAAATTGTATGCCATTGAAAAGTATTATACCACGACTTAAACGACTTAAAATATTACTGGAAGGCAAACAAATTTCATTATAAACATTTTGCTTGAAAAATTAAATATTGATCATCTATGGATTAGAGAGTACAACGTAATATACTTATTTTAAAATTTATTCCACCTGAAATATTGTTGTCATATAAGTTAACATCAAGTCTAGGGTACAATACAATGGCCAAAAAATTTATACTTTTTTGGACATCTATATGATTTAATTTCTAATAAATATTGAATTTCCTTAAATTGAAGTAGTTTAAAAGTACAAATTTAAATTTTACAGTGTTGACATACTTTTAATGAAAATATTTTAATTAATTGTCATTTTCATAATAAATATAATAACTCATTTAATAATTAATATAAGATAACACAAATTTTTTATTCTCAGTAAATATTTGAACTTAATTTTAGTAAATATTTACTTACAATGATTACTTACAATCATTTGATAATTTTAAAATAACTACTTGTTTCAAGAGAATATTTATTTTAATTAATTGTCATAGTGGAATAAATCACTATGTAAATAATACATAATATAAAATACTAAAAAACACAACAATTCTTTCTTGTTTATTTAACTTAAGTAAATATTTACTTAAAATACTCAACTAATTGTGCACATGTTCGGAAAAAGCATTTAGTTTAATTAATTATCTGATTTATATTAAATTGGGTAATATAAACTTATGTAGGGAAGATAATTACCAGCCGTATTTTCCTTTTTTAGAAATTCAGAGTATAAAATTTGTAATTATACAGTTACGTCTGTTCTTCAACTCTCATGATTTGTTAATGATAATGGCCTGTTATGATTTTATATAATCTCTGTGAGATCCCTAACTAAAATGCGTTCGTTGAACAATTTTATCAATTATTATCATATAAATATTAAATAATTAAATCAACATCAAGATCTCATCAATAACATTGATAAGTGCCTTCTAAATTACAAAGTATTTTTTGCAAGAAAAGATGTAATTAACAGCACCAAAAAAAGGCCCAAAAAATGTGGAAAAAAACATTTAGATATATTTAGCTTAGATATATCTGGGAATATATCTGTATGTATTCAACGTTGAAATATTTAAATCTTGAAGTTAAGTAATGCCATGTAAATTTCATAATATTGTATGCAAAGAAATTACAGCTAACAGCACCAACCGCGTGCCTCAAAAATGGAAAAAAAAACGCTAAAAGATGCTTACATATTTATGTATAGAGAGAACCCATTTATAAACATATTCAACGTTAAAAATATTACATATTGTTAAATAATAACAGGAACAGAACTGAGTTTTCATTATTTTCTTCATTAGGGCTATTTGCTACTTAGTTATCCGATACAGAGCATGGTTTAAGAAAATTATTCACAATTCTACTGTCTAGTATTCATAATAACGGTTTTAAGATATTGTGTTATCTACCATTTTATTGAAAAAAAAAAAAACTGTCTTGTCATTTTTATATTTAATTTAATAACTATGTTTTGCTATACTGATTTAGAGTATTCTTATCTAATTATTCCACTTAAAATTTCGGGGACTCTTAATTTTTTATAATCGTTAACCTTTTCTATTAAGTCTTTACGAATTCATAATTTATTAAATTATGTGTTTATTTTTAATGTTTAAAAAATTGTATATGTACTTATATAACGATAACATTATACTAGCAAACTAACCTAGTTTTGTATATCTCCTGCTATTATGGTAGATATTCAAGTCTTCTACTTATATGCATTAAATAAAGAGTGAAAAGAAATTTATATAGAAATTTAAACGAGTGTTCTAAGCTTCCAATGATTCTGTTAAATATATATTCTCCACTATTTTTATTTATTTAAATATATTACTGTTAATATAATATATATAATGTTTTAAAAGATATGTATTTCTTTTAATTAAAAATATTTTACTGTGTTCAAGAGAGACCATTTATTATTTTTATACATATTATTTTATATTAATATTATGTTAAATTTTATTTTATACAAATTATTTTAAAATATATACATTTATTTAAAACAATGATGGATGTTATTTTTTTATTATAATTGGATATATTTTTCCAAATTTAAAAGATTAATCATATTTTGTAAAATATGGTTATGCACTATATATAGCGCAATAAATTGTCTTCTCAAATAAAGAATTGAAATAGTCGTAAATTTTATTCACATTGGTTGGAAACTGTGTTAAGCACGTATTTCAAAAATATAATTTTTTTTTGTCCTCTTCAAATAGTCACGCTCAACTTATTTGAGAATCTAAATGATCGATTTCACAACAATTACATACACTACTCTACTCCCTTTCATTTTATGAGAAAAAATATATTTTTTAATATTAAATTGCGACAATTCTATCATCACTTGTCAATTTTTTTCATTTTTTTTTTAAATTTAATTGATGTAAAAATTTTATTGTTCTGAACACAACCAACAGAGTATCATATCGAACTAAAAAATATTTAAAAAAAATATAATTAAATTAAAATAGAAATAAATTTTACTTCCGTGCCTTTCAATAGTCAGAAATATTCGAATAAATTGTAAATATTGCAAACAAAAAAAGAGTGAACTGACAAAGCAAATTTTAAGACAAAAAAAAGTGCTTTTATTTATTCAAAAGTGCTCTAGTTTCAGTAAAATTAAGCCATCAAACTCAGTGTACGAAGTTACAAACTTTTCAACTATTTTGATTAATTAAAATAATTCTTGAAATATTTCAAAACTGTTTGAAATATAAAATAAAATAGATGAAAGTTGAAAGTTCGTTTTATTAAAGCCAACATTTCAATTATTTTGTGCTTTTTGTTTACACTTGTATCTTTTGTGGAGCCTTAAAGTTGGAATAGAAACAATTTTTAAGCTTTAATTTTTGACTGTAAGAGATACATCGAGATTTGAATTTATGTTAACCACAGCTACAGAAAAACCAAAACAAACAGCAAACTTTTTCAAACTTTTTTAATTTTTCATAACTTTAAAATATTTCATTTTCTCCATTTACATTTACCATTTCCTTTTCTAATTTGCAGGGCGGCCGTGTACGTTTCACTTCAAATCGCGAAAGTACGGGCGTAATTTCATTAAGATCAGCTGGAGATATTTCACTACCACAACGTGGACCACCAAGACGCGGTCTTATCGTACCACAGCAGCCACCAAATCCACCGACAATAATACCATTAACGCATGCCAGGTAAGTTGTGCCCTCAGGAGATATAAAATTTTCCATCTTACCAGAAAAAAAAAGAAATATAAGTACTCACCCGTCTTACACTGCCAATGCCTCACTTATATATACCTATATATATATATTGTGTGATGTATTTTGTTACCTTTTATTTATTATGTTTATATGTATTTTTTGTATATTGTTGTTTTGTTGGTGACCTATTAATAATAAATACAAAACAACAACAACAACGAGAGAGAAAAAGAGCAGTAAACACAAAATTTTGCAAAAATAAAGTAAACACAAAACGTGTTAAATGAAACACCTTCATCTTTGCATTATCCTTTGGCAGGATATTATGCTAACCGCAATGCTACTAAATATATAAACTTCTACGGAACACACACACAAATGGCACAGATACAAATAGTCACCTATGCCCACTTTCGTAAGTTACTCCAGTATTGGATTTATTGCGAACGTATAAATATTTGCCGTAATTTGTTTAGCATGCCACTAAGGTTATGGCTTTTTGTTATAATAAGTAGGAAGTAAACAGGGTGTGGCGATGATTGCTCGGATAACTCGTAAAATAAATAAATATATATATAAATATATAAGTATGACTTTACACAGCAAAAGTATCCCTCTTTTATTCTTGCATACTTTTCTGCAGTTACTTAATTACTACATCAGTCACACGGTGCGTATGAGTGTTGATAATTTTGGTGGTGTTAGACTTTTTGGGTTAAGTAAATCTAATGTTTACTCTGCTAAGCGCTTGTAATTGCGTTAAGCTTTTAATCCGTGATACTTGGCAAAGTTTAATAATGAACAATTTATTCACTAAACATATTGAAATAAAATTGGCGTGGATGTGAAGAGATATTTATGTATATAGTGAAATCTTGGTTAAACTCTGCATCTCTCTCAGCGGTGCAATGTTTCTAGTTTTTATTATTCTTTAAGAGATTCTTCGTTTTTGATTGTTGCCAAGGTATACTCATATACTCATCTATACTCATAGTATTAAAATAACGGATACATGATAGCAATGTACGAAGACATGATAGGTATAAATAAAGAGCAAGATCAAAAATCTATACATCTGAGTAAATGAGATACAGCGTTCGCTCTGTGAGACAATATGAAAGATATCACGCATAGCACAGGGTAAATGTACTGCAATTTACTAACTGAAAATAATAAGAACAAAAAGTGTATTTATGTGTCTATTTATGATTAAAAGCTTTAAGCTATCCGATTAGTTAAATATAAAATTTGCATTTATGATCCTTTCATATATGGAAAAATTACATAAAAATCTTTCCATTTGATAGTATTCAGTTCAGAGAGGAACAAATGTTCTTAATTTATAATAATATTCATCTCAAGCATATTGTTCTTATCTAGATATTAGAGATAATATATATGTTATATTAATATCTATATATTTAAACACAAAATATATTAATATTAAAAGCCTAATGTATTGATCAATGGGACCTTATTAAAAGCCATTATATATAGCTCGGCTATTTGGTCCATTATAAAGTATGAAAAGAGAGGGTCTCACTTTATTCTTATATTGCGTCTGTTGCATCGTATTATTTTTCCATTTTTTTATCCTATTATTTTTCCCATTTTGTTTTTCTTGTTATTGTTTACATATAGTACAATAATTAAATAATAATATAAGCACTGTTAAATCAAATGTTTATATTTAATTTATATTATTAAATTGAAACTAATCTATATTAACTAAATTGAAAACTGGGTCAAATAAAATAATTTTATCAAATTTAGTTTAATTTCAATTGTTTTTTCGTGGTATGTATTTTTAAAATCCGAAACCGCGTTAGCAAAAGCAGTTAAGATTTTATTTAATATATACAATTATTTGCCATTAAATTTACCAACAATAAAAGCAATAAAATTTAATTTAATAGTATTAATATAGATTGTAATATTCTTTCTCACTAAAAATTTTATAATAATTTAATAGTTACATATATAAAATGTATCTGTTATAATCTAATATTTATGCATTTATAAATTTAATCGATTTAAATTTTATAAACAAATTGGTATTAATATTTAAACTAACAAAAAAATTTAAATAATATTTCCACAATTGAATCATAGTACTTCAGAGAAACCTATCAAATAGAAATATCAAGAAATAATTTTAGATAAATTAAATTCTTTTTAACAAATCGCTGTTATTTAAAAAAAATTTTTACCTAATAATTTTCTCACTGACCCATTTCAATTGTTTCTCATGACATGACCAAGTCAACGATGCTTCTGGATGTTGTTTTCACGAATTATATCAATATAATGATAAAGCTTATATATACCTCATGGTTTATTTGGATGCGATAATCGTCATCAAGTTATAGAGAACCAAAGATCTTACAAAGAACTGTTGTCTCGTAAACTCGAAACTTTTTTTGCTTTTGCACCATGCAAAAATTCATGTCATGAGTCGTAAGTTGTGTTTTTCAAGAGAGAGCTCTACAACCCAATTTTCCACTGAGCCCTTAGTAAGACCTATTGGCAGTGGTGATTCTTCTTCTAATTTCTACGCTGATATCGTTATTGTTTGTTACGCTCGTGCCTATGTAGTTGAAATACTTAACTGGTTCAAAAGCATAGTCGCCAGCCACCAGTTCTTTGTTAATATTAGCCGACATTTACTTTGTTTTGCTCTCATTTAGTGCTAAGCCCATTTTTTTCATTAAAGAAACTAACGAAAAAAACTTACTAAGGTAATACTTTGAAATTTCACTCCCAAGCAATCTATAATATCGACGTTTCCTGCTCTACCAATTAACTAAAGAAAATATTCTAAAAATCACTCTAAGGAAGAACTATCAAAATCAGTCTTCTCAACTTTACCTTAACTCATTTAAAACACCTTTTTGCAACATTAATATATTTTATAGTTTCACTACGTGACACACCTCAGAAAGCAATCAGCACTGAATTTTTGGTTAAACAATTCCCATTCATTAATTTCGACTTTTCTCTAGGTTAGAGCATACAAAGTTCACGGAGATCTGCTACAAATCAAGCTCGGAATAAATGTGTTTGCAAAATAAATACATTTTTATAAATAACAGTTTTATTTCAGGACACGACGCCTATGCCTACTGACCTTTGATGCCAACAATGCCAACAGCTTCACCTTACACATCTCCACCGTGTCTAGGCCGGGTGCCCTATTTTAAGATATTTATAAGCTTGTGTTGTTGCTGTTGTTGTTGTTGTTATTGTTGTTGCTGTTATTGTTGTTGCTGCGGTGGGAGCACACATAAAAAGCTATAAAACATTGTGCAAAGTTTTTTGATTACTTCAGCTGCAGTTGGAATTCTTAACTAAGTTTTGCCAAAGTTACAACCCTGCACGCACATTTACACATACACACACACACACACACACACATGCATATACAACAAAACACACAAATAAATGTAAACAAACTTTTATGTATGTGTGTGTATTTGTTCATCAATACGAATTCATGTAGAATGGATATACGCAGGAATATTGGCAATGAAACAGTGTATTTAGCCAGTGTTGCCATTGCACACACTCACTTTTTCCTACGTTTTAATGTCGGATTTTATTGTCTGTTGGTTTGTTAGTCTTTATGTCAGTTTGTTGTTATTGTTCCTGTTGTTGTTGTTGTTCTTGTTGTTGGAAACTGTGTATGTTTTACTGATTGGCTGCTTCTATTTCGATTGGTTTCCCTGCTTGAATTTACTCTATGCTTTTGTTTTTTTATTTTTTTCTTCTTTTTGCTTTTACTTTTGTATTTGCCTTTGTTTGACGTTGTGCGTACGTGTGGAAAAAGGATACGATATAAATTTGATTGAGTATGTGTGGTATTGACTGACAGGATAACACTATTTTTGCAAAAGTGTTATTATTGTTGTCGATTTCTCATTAGTTCATTTCGCATTTCGAATTTTACTTTTCGTATTTGTGTTCACCAAAAGTGTTTGTTCGTCTGTGTTGAATTTGGCAATGAATGTGTGCGTATGTGTGTGTTCGTATGTGTAGGTGCGTAACAATATGAAATTGATGACTTCTGTTTGCTTCAATGAATTTGTGATACCCATTACACAAAATTTCCATCATTCTATATTACTTAAGTAAAATTCTGTAAATATAATTGAGATAGCTCTAATATAGCTCTACTCTGTAATATCATACATAATTTGTTTTTCTACGAATTGAGGTAAGTGGTTTGTGAAGTGCAAATTAATCCTTTAAATTTAAAAAATTATTAAAATTAATTTTTTCTTGCCGATAGTGGCGTGTCTTTATGAAGAAAGAAACTATTTAAACGAATTGACAGGCACGAGTTCTAAGCCTAGTACTTGCAGTCCAAACAAATTATATACGGACTATAAACTAATTAAATAAAAATTCGATTATTTCCTAAGACCACTGATGAAGAGTTCTTGACAATACTCGAAACAGCGTTGTATGTTCAGCCAAAATTCAATAAATTAAATAAATTTTTGTCTTTGTCCTTTCTTTCTTTGCTATTCGAATCCATCTAACTTAAAAAATTATTATTCAATCTTTCAACATATTTTACAAATAAATGAAAATTTCAGTGACTTTTGATAAAACTTGTCTTTTAACTCAAGAAACTATAACCCATCTCCATTAAACTACACCCAAAAACCTACTTGAATTTAACTTCTTTATGCATCTTTGCGTTCAAATTCTTTGAGAACATGATAGGCACAGCGTTCATATTCTTCTTCAAGCTGTTCTCAGAAAATATCTTGGGTATAGTTATCTTTATCTTTCGTCAAGGTACGTTTATCGTAATACGGATTTTTATCAACCTTTCGTTGGTTGATGTGAAGGTTAGAACGTTTCTTAGCCATCGGCTTACCGTAAATCCGATTCCAATTTTCATTTCCTGAAGAGTGGTAATGTTAATTTTGTATTTCTTAATATTTATTCACTTTAAAGAGTGTAATTAAGTAAAACAGCTCCTTAAAATTGTTTGTTGGGTCCTTTAGTCTAATATTTTTTTCATATATTTTTCTTTTGATTTTTTTTCTATTTTTTAAAATTTTTTTGTTTTTTTTTATAAGTTTATTGGGTGCTTTTGTATGTTACCTTTTTGATATGTTTGCGGTACTGTAACTGTCAGTGTCAGTGGCACTGTCATTTCTGCTATACAATGATAAGAAAATGAAATGAAAATAAAAAAAAAAATTATTTGGTTTTGATTCTATTTTATTTGTGCTGCGTTTATATTCGTACCTTTTTAATCCTTTTTTATATCTACCATTTCGATTTTTTTTCTTTTTTTGAGTCAACACCTATAAATGCCGTCAGCATTGAAAACTGATATCGATAGTTTTTTCAGAAATTCTGACGCAAGACATTATTTGAATGATGTACACAAATGACAGCTATTAAAAAGTTAAATAGTTCATTACATTGCTGAAGCGTAAATATGAGGATTCCTATTATTTCAGTTATCGGATGTGCTTTCGGAGAGGTTCAGCAAATACTCATAGCAATAAGTTTTTTGATTACAATCAACAATCAATTTTGGTTTTAGGAGCGTTGTGAAGTTACATATTAAATAGTTTTGTTAGATAAAGATAAATGTGATAGAATATAATATTGTGTATTTTCTTCTTATTTAAGGATAAAATAGATTGAAATTTATGATGTAGCTTTGTAAAATTTTAATTCGATTTACGAAAATTTAACATGTCACTTAAAACTGATTAAAAGCACAAGTTAAGAATTTTTAAATTTAATTCCAAATTATGTTAATTTATTCTAGACAGATTAATAGCAAATTATCTTAAAAGTTCCAAGCTATTTAACTTAGTTATCTTTGAATAATTTACATGAAAAACTCTACAATGAGCGTTTTAATCTGGTACTGTTTGTTGTAGATTGAAAAAGTCTATCCAATGCAAGGAAAATTTGTCAAGTATCTATTTAGACTATAAAGGAGCATAATTTACAGATGTTAACATCAAGTATGCCTTAGTTAGATATATGCCAATTTTATAGTTTATTCTCGTGAGTATAGACATTGTTTTATTAACCTTTCTCCAGCTTAGGTCAGGTCTGTGACATCCTAAGCTCTAGTTTTCGTGAGTGCAGATATTACTTTGAAAACTTTACTGCTTTTTATATAAAAAAGCCTGTAGTTAAGGATTAGCTAAGTTGCCCTTTATCTCACAAGCATATCAACATTTGATAAATTTTTTTGCGTTATTGTAGAATGCCACAGTATATCAACCCTGTACTGTAATTATCGTGGAAAAAACTAATAATAGGCAACATAATTCTTTGGAATTTTCTTTGGAATAGGCAACATAATTAGCCATGTTACGCTATATTCGTGTAATCAATATTTCAAAATAGAGTTATTTTTAATATATTACTCAATAAATTAACATTTCATCTACTTTTGTGTACTAACTCGGATATGATTAATGCTACTGAAATACCTCTAAAGGCAGTTTGTGAGAATATAAATCTCTTTTCTATAAAATTTATTATTTTCAGAGAAAAAACTGATTCCTACTTAAAAAAAAGTATCAGTTTGCGATTAATTTATCTGGCTATACCGCTTACCATTTGGAATCCATCGATATACACTGCTGTTTTATCTTGCTTTGAAATCTGATTTACATTTTAAAGGGATCATTTTGATATAATATCATAAACGATAAGTTACCATGTAGTCAATAGTATTAGTTGGAAATAATCTTTATTAATTTATCATTTTGTCATTGTATAAAGAACAAATATAATACTTAAAGGCTTAAACTGCATGATTTCATAAATTTTGAATTCATCATTATCAAATGTAAAATTAAATTTTCCAAGAAATGGAAACTTAGAATTAAAATATGTTCCACGTAATAGGTCTAATAACGGAGTTATCTAATTCGCATAAACAAAATGTAGCATGTCATAAACACTCAAATTCAGACGTTTGGACTAAACACTTTAAAAGCTTGAAAATAGTAGAGCTATTGACTATTGATATATAATATCAATATATTATTTAATATAAATTATATTCAATTAAAGTCCTAAAATAATTGACAAGTATTTCAGTCTAAATTTAACTGAACTTAGATTCTTAATTCATTTATCACATCCAACACCGCTTTTGTTCATTTCTTGCGATGATTAGAAAGAGATTATTTTTTATATTAGAAAAGATTTGTTTATGCTCTATTATTTTTTTGATAATATCTTCCTTTGTTGTTAAAATATTCTGTTCACAAATAAAACTTAATTTTATTATACTTTAATGGACTACAGTTTATAACACTGATTTCGATAAGTGAAAATCAAGGAAAAATAACAATCTAGAATACACTTACTTTCATATCGTATGCTTTTCTTTCATCATATTCTCCTGTGTTCTTATCATATTTTGATGAAAAATGAAACTAATTTCAATATTTTTAATTTTATTTTGTGTTTCTCATCTTTCAGATCACATGACCGAGAAAGTGGCGACTACGCTGGTTCGATTTCTGATTTGCAAAGTGTTACCTCACGCCTCAGCACAGTTTCGGTAAGCATTTTAAGTAAATTCATGCAACTCATAAAATCCTTTAGGTGTCGCAGTCACATTTCAGCCATTTACTAAATCTCAAATGGATAAATCTGAAATGTCCTGCGGCAAGAATTGCACTTCATTTAAATTGCGAAATCAGTACGGAATAAAAACTTTAAGGATGTCATTTGTCACGCCAGCTAAATTGATTAAGTGCACTTCAAAAATATAAATAAAAAATAAATTATTTCATTGAAGAGAAAATAAATAAATAAAAATAATTCAAAGGAGATGGAGAAGCACAAAGTACTGTAAATAATAAAGATGAATAAAACTTTTTGCTATTTTAGCAACACAATTTGTGCCTTTTTTCCAAATATATTTTTCTTATTTTTCCATATAAAAAGCAAAAAAGTTAAAACAAACACAAAATGTGAAATGCTTTTAAAAAGTTAACATTTTGCTGTGATTTAATATTTTTACAGCCAATAAAAATAAAACTTTCAATTCCATTGATGCCGTCATTTTCCATTTTTTTACTTTTCTTTACGGTTTCTGTATTTTTTTCCAGTGTATTTATTGTCAACAGATTTAGAATTTCAACCAAAGTCAATCTGTCCAACTCAACTTTAGCCAATAAATTATTTATTTTATTTTATTTTATGTATTTTTTTTAAATTTAATTCCATTGTTACTAAACCATTTCTTTTTTTTTTGCTTCACAGATTGGCACAAATAATTGCACTGCACGTTACCGCACTTTAAGTGGCGGTCGTGGTGAATCACCATCCTTGTCACCGAGTCCATCATCTGATTATGAAGACATTGCAGCATCGCGTGGCTTGCCACCTAGTCTTGTGGCAAAGAGCAAAAAGAATGGCATCGCACACAAAGCGAACACCATCAGTCAGAAAGCCACAGTACATCACGTAAGTCAATAAACACATCTGCTACACTAGTTGATATATGTGAGAAGGACTATAAGTGTGTGTTGTGTGTGTGTGTATGGATTAGAGCATATCTAGCACGGAAACGGAAATGCACTATTAAACTTCTACCTAACAACAAAATTTCAATTTACAATTTCTGTTACGAATTCTAGTTGGGCAAAAAATGAAACAAAACGAATCTTATCGCGTTTGGAGACACAAATTTTGTGGCGTTGTGTAATTGTGTATGAATGTGTAATAGTGTAGGTGTAGATAATGAATGCCAACTATTGCTGCGGTACTGTTATGGTTATTTGGAATTTGGTTTTAGTTCGTCGCTCCACTTACGCTTCACTTGCAAGCTGCTCACATTCTTACCAGTGCGCAAGTTGTGCATTTGTCATCCGTTTTCGCACAAGTTTTGTTTAATTTGTTTAGTTTTTGTCGGAAACTTCCTCTACTATGTAAATAGAGCTTTGCTTTAATTGGAAAAACCTTCGGAAAATCCAATTTTAATTAAACTCAATCGACCACTTTCATTCCATTGCAAACTTTGTCGTGTAATGTTTTATTGGTTTACACTCATCGCATTGCATTTTACTTGCAGCAAAGGAATTATAAATTTGAAATTTTGTAATTGCAAAGCTCAATGAATGAGTTCCTTTTATACCCTTCAAATTATAACAAATTAATAGTATATGTACCAAATATACATCCCTTATGGAATAAAGTTTGTAGTGCGGAAAACTAAAACCGGTTGTTAAACAACATAACATGTCAGATCTATTAAAATTATCAAATTCATACGCTGCTACTTATCTGACTCTTGATCTATTCGACTATATTTTTAAGGGATCACCAATAGGAATGAATTTGTCGATATGTATGATAAGATAGATCAATAAATGATTTAGTTGAATAGGAATTCTATATGAATTCATAGATGTACACTAGATTACGAAAACTAGCATCAAACACTTCAACGGAAATTGTGAAGCTATTTGAAAATGGTCGTCTGTCATCCTTATACTCCAGCCTAGGGCCATGATCGGTCTGTTCAAAAATGTTAAATAATGTTGGAGCAACTCAAAAATGTTTGAACTACTCGAATATGCTCGAGCTACTTGAAGATGTTCGAGCTACTCAAAGGTATTCCAGCTACTTGAAAATGTTCGAGCTACTCGAAGATATTCCAGCTACTCGATGGTGTTCGAGCTACTCGAAGATGTTCGAACTAGTCGAAGATGTTCGAGCTAGTCGAAGATGTTTGAGCTAGTCGAAGATGTTCGAGCTACTCGACGATATTCGAACTACTCGAAGATGTTCGAGCTACTCAAAGATGTTCGAACTACTCGAAGATGTTCCAGCTACTTGAAGTTGTTCGAGCTACTCGAAGATGTTCGAACTACTCGAAGATGTTCCAGCTACTCGAAGTTGTTCGAGCTACTCGAAGATGTTCGAACTAGTCGAAGATGTTCCAGCTACTCGAAGATGTTCGAACCAGTCGAAGATGTTCCAGCTACTCGAAGGTGTTCGAGCTACTCGAAGATGTTCGAACTACTCGAAGATGTTCGAACTACTCGAAGATGTTCGATCTACTCGAAGATGTTCCAGCTACTCGAAGGTGTTCGAGCTACTCAAAGATATTCGAACTACTCGAAGATGTTCGAAATAAGCGAAGATGTCCGAGCTACTTAAAGATGTTCCAGCTACTCGAATATGTACGAGCTACTTGAATATTTACGAGCTACTCGATGATGTTCGAGCTACTCGAAGTTGTTCGACTTACATCCTTGATGTTCTAAAATGTTAGAACTATAATTTACTATAATGTTGTCTTAACAAATATTTTTTACATATTTCTATTATAAATAAAAATATTGTACTGACATACCTTAAAATTTAAAAGTCAATAATCTAACTAGAGGAACCAAAAGACTTTCCCTAACTTCAATTAAAATAGGTGTACACATTAGTTCATATAAAAAATAATATCCTTAGATAGATAATAATATAAAGTGATAAAATATGAATAGCGCACTTGCAACACTACTGTTATGACCTATAATCGAAAAAGCTCAAATTAATCTACTATCTTTGTTCGCCTTTCATTGACCAATACAATTATTATGCTTAAAGGACCGTAAGTAATCATTTCAATCGACTAGAAGCCCCTACTGATTACTATTATTGTAATTTCGTATAAAAGGAGAAATAAAAATGTTACTTATCTACTTTGTCATTCCTTGGCATTTGGGAGAATATGTATATTTACTCTAGGGTCCACCTTTCTCAAGTTTATGTCCGCTAGCAGCAATAAAGACATTAGTAACAAAAATAACTCTATCACGCATGATGTTGTCCATCTGTTTCCTTGCCACAATGCACACATAAACTTTAGTTCAATCTATCTTTGGACCTGCCTTTATAGAAGTCAATAGGTTTGATCCTGGTTGACTTTAATTTAAATTCCACAAGTTCCTCAATCCAATCTGACTCCTAAATAATCTTGTGTCCTTTACTTTACCAGTACCTATCATCATCCTAACTCATATATTTGTCTTCGCATATGAATAACTTTCGTTTTATCTGCTTTAAAGAACTTTTTGAATTACAACAACCATAATACTGTTTTATTAAAATCCGAAAGGGGATTCTTGGTTCAAAATTGGAAGAGCTTCTTTTACGGTCTTTATAAGTCTTGTCTATTGCGTGACGTTGTTTCAAAGCTGTCTACCAACAAAATCGACTGCCGATTTTTCGTTTATTATTACAGAGTACAAGATTTTAAAGCACTAAATATACTTTCCCTAAATAGTAGAAAACTTTTTTAATAAATAATTCAAATATTGTTTTTGAAAAGTATTGAAATTTCATTTTTTCGGAATTTTACTTACTTAAAATACTTGGAAGTTAACAAAAACTATTTGAACAGAACAAGAAGTCAGACACTCTGCTTGGTAGAAAAAGTAACTAACAAGTAATTTATTTCCGGAAAATTATATTAAATACTAAGAAGTCTCGACTGTTGCTAATATTCCATCCCAATAGCATTATTTTGCCATTTTCAAAGAAATATATTACATTACACTTTTACTAGAAAGACTCTGGGAAAAAAAGACGTCTACTCTACTCAGATCGTCGTGTGTAATATTTTAAAATTACATTTAAAATAAAAACAAACTTAAAAAACTATAATATTTTTCACTTCTTAACAAAAAGTGAAAAACATATATACGTATATACATACGCATACACGCATACATGTGTAAATAAAAACAATAAAAAACATTTTCACTACAAATGCACATGCTGCTTACTTTTCACATAAAAGAAAGTTAATAATTCACTTAATACTTTGTAAGTAGGAAGAAGAGCTTGTTTTGTGTGTGTACTGACTGCATGACTGTATGTGTAATGTTAGCTTGTGTGTGTGTGTGTGAGTCTGCACTATTAAACTTTTTAATGATTTAACTAACAGAAATTTTTATTTTTTTTTTTAAATTTTTTTTCTATGTGCTGAAACTATGCATCGTGCTTGCGTTCTTCAACTATAACGTTTTTGTCTTCAACTACAACTTCGTCATCTACAACGCCATCGTTGTCTGGCATATGCGCCCAAAAATATGCTTTGGAATTCACAAAATTCATAAAATATCTAACCAACTTCGGCTAAATTACAAAAACAAAAAAAAACCACTTGCTGCTGTTAACCTAATGCTGTTGATGTGATGTTGCTGCTGTTGCTGTTGCTATTGCCACTGTTGCTGTTAATGGTGGTGTTGTTGCTGTTACTATTTATGCTGCAACTTCTACTTCGACTCAACTCTTCTAACTTTACTAATTCTACATACATGTATACACATATATATATATATATATTCATACAATCTTTTATAAAGTCCAACGAAATGCGAAACTCACCGAAGGAAATTGGCGCATTTAATGAAAATGGCAGGAACTTTGTTGCCACAAAGGATACTTCAAGGGATTTTAGCAATTCCCAAGATAATACCGACCGTGGCAGTATGAGCGATCAGGCTTTTGCATGCTCTGCAAGTTCAGTGGAAAGTTTACCCAGTGCTTCCGGTTCAAGTAAGTTATTTATGTATATATAGTTTTATTTTTATACGCTTACAATCCTATGGAGCTCAGTGCTTTTACAACTCCACCATTTCTATGGGCAATCGCAACTCCCACTACAGATTTTCTCAACTGTTTATTTCTTTGAATTTGTGGCATTCTTATGGTTGAGAATTTGTTGGGTTGCTGCTGTTAGTTGGTTCGGTTCGGTTCGGTTCGTTTATGGCTTGCTCTTGATAGCATTGCACATATATTGGTCTATTAACGGTTTCAGCCATACTCTCAAGTTTAGCCAGCTGTTATTGCTTTTATCAACTTTTTGTTGTTGTTGTTTTTGCTTTCTTTAGTTTGTGTTGATGTTGTTCTTGTTATTTAAGTGGTTTTTCGGCAATGCCATAAAAACAAAAAATTTTGTTTTTTTTTTTTTAAATTTTGTTTTTTTGAAAAAACACTTCAAATTTTACAAACCTAATGAATTTTTAATGCGCTACTGAACTGAACCCAGTTAGTTCATTTTTTCCATCACTTGTACTTCGCCTTGAAACAGATTACATTGCAGTAACTAACAAAAAAAAAAAACAACAAAATTGCCAGAAAAAAAAAGTGAGAAACAAATTAAATAAACCAAAATAAGCTAAAATTAAAAAAAAGTTGTATTTTGGAAAAAGGATTTCATGCGAGTACACTAAGATTGCTTTGCAAAAATTTTAATGAACAAAACTTTTCAAATTTTGATAACAAAATATATTTTTTAACAAAAAGTAAATATTGTTATTAAGAAAAAAATAGCAAAATTAAAAAAAAAATACCTAGAAAAAGATTATATACTCTTAAAGTAGTAATCTCTCGCTTATTAAACACTTTCCTTTATAAAATAACTAACCAATCCATTTAATTATAAATATTTTAACAATTTTATATCCTTTTCACAATTTAATGCATACAATATGTTTTGATTTTTAGGTACTCAAGCTCTAGTACGTCCTGGCAGTCCACAAAGCTCCATATCGACAGAAGATCGTACTTCGTTAGTTCCAATTTGTAAAGCCAAAGCACTTGTCGACAGCATGCCAAATCCTTATGATAAGGACGCACTTAAGTTTAAGGTAAGTTAACTCCAATTCCTACTACCACTACTTTTCCTATCAATCCTTCTTCCACTACTACTCCTCCCACTGCTTATTTTATTTTCAAATATTTTCATATTAACACAAAAGCATAAGCAAGCAAAACTGTTAAAAAATTTGCTTTAAGTATTGCTTTTGAGATTATCGATGAAATTGTCAGCAGTCAAGTGCAAAATCAGTAACTCAACTTTTCTTCATCTATACTCGTATGCACAAATATTTTGAGATTTTTGTGATTTAAAGGAAAATTTCAACTGAAAAATATTAAATGAAAATATTTGCTTTTGAGCAGAAAGAGATTTTCATATTATTTTGATTTTAACTTATATTCCTTTTTTGCTTTGCCATACTATGTATATATACTATATGCTATGTGCTATATGCTATGCGCTTTATTTTAAATTTTTAGAAAGGTGACACTATCGATGTATTGTCGATGAATGCCTCTGGCATTTGGAAGGGTCGTTGTCACGGTCGAGTGGGTCATTTTAAGTTCATCAATGTGGAAGTACTGCCTGAGCAGCGTATGAAAAATTCAAATAGCAAAAATCTAACAACTGCTGGTCGACATGTTAACAGCAATGGTCCTAGCTCTGTCGAGGATTTACTATTCCGTATCGGTTTGAAAGAGTACACTTCAGTCTTTGTTTTAAATGGGTAAGCATGAATTGCTAAAGGAAATAATTTTTATTTTTTTTTTGTTTTTTTTTTTTTGTTATCAATAAAAATAAAAATTTGCAATTTTAATTGAATATACGAGAGGAGAAGAGAAATAGAAATGTAAATTTAATTTATGAAAGTCAAATAAACTGAAATCTCAAATTAAATTAAAATAAAGTATTAATTTATAGAAATGAAGTAACTAAAAAAATTCAATAAAATATTTAAAATACTAACAGAAATAGTTAAAAAATATTATAAAATAAAAAAAGAGAAATGGTATAAATAACATTTTATATTCTTCAACTTTATATAAAATAGTTATTTTCTGTGTAATTAAGTGAATAAAAAAATATATTTAAAATGCTAAAACTATATTAAAATTTTTTTTTTTTATTTTTTATTATACATGTATCAAATTTATTAAAATTAATCACTATGAAAAATTATATCTAAAATAAAAAATACTTTTTATATGTACACATAATAACATATTTGTCAAAGTTATTATATAAGAAATAGTATTTTAAATATCTTCAATTTTATTAGCACAGTTTTTTTTACATATAGTTATATATTTGTCCAAGCTCTAATATAAAAATAATATTTCATATATTTTTTTTACTTAATCCATCAAATTTAATTCAAAACAGTGTAAATTTGTGACAGTAAAATGTTTATAAAAAGTTAAATATTTAATAAAATTAAAACAAAACTATTTTCTCATATAAGAGAAGAAAATATAAAATATATTTTAAAATTCTTTATTTATTTTATTTTATTTTATTTTAATACTTTTTGAAATAATTTTTTCTCATATGTGATTTTATCACTTTTTTTATTTTCATATATTCTTCTATCATACTATACATATCTTTTTAAAAATTATTAAAAATACCTTAAGGAAAAATAAATTCCATTTATGCAAATTTATTACTTTATTGCAGTTACGAAGACTTGGAACTCTTCAAAGAACTTGAACCAGCCGATTTGGATTATTTGGGTATTATCAATCAGGATCATCGTGCAAAACTATTAACTGCAGTGCAACTATTGCACGACATAGAATGTAAGTTCACTAACCCTTTAATAGTATTTAACAACGAAATTAATTTTTTCTTACCAAAATTGCACAGTTCCTTTACTAACTAATCCACTTTCATCAACAGCTTCTAATTTCTCACACACAGGTTCTGATGGTGACATAGCTGGTTCCAGCTCAGAAAACGATGAAGCACGTTTAAACAACATCAACAAAAAACATGCCGCTTCACCATTTGGCCGGCGTCATTTTCCACGTGATTCAGGTTGTTATGAAGGCTCACCAGTTCCCACCTCGCAAACACCCACACAAGTCGTAAACTCCACTGATGATTCGAATAGCTTAGACGATGTGGTCACCAAGTGTTCAAGTGAAATTATGAAACGTGTCGAAAGCGCACGACGCCAAAAAGAAAATCCATTCAAAGTTGGATTACCAGCACGTGTAGGAAAGAAGGCATTAATAGGTAGCGGTCTTTTGGGTGATGATACCCTAACACGTGGAGGTGGTTTAAGTGAGAAATCCAGCGATTCCGGTGTTAGTAGTAGTTCACTATCATCAGGTCCACTAAAAAATAGCACTTAACATTTACCTACAATACTCGCCCATGAATTACTGTTGGGCGTGGGTCTATCTAGTAGTGGTAGTACATTATGCAGTGCTGGCGCTACTTCACCTACAACATCGACAGCTTCAGCTGGTTTTGTGGGTTGTGCCGGTATGAATAGTGCATTTCCAGCTCTGGCCATGCCAAATTCTTGCAATACACTTCCACATACACAGACCACTTCAACGGCAACAACAACGGGTATTGGTATGCCGAATAATTTGCAGTTGAGTCGAAATTTAGTTATGCTTAGAAATCATCTACGCAAAAATACGAACGCATCGAATTTCAGCGATGAAAAGGAGCAATAGCCCATTACAACAATAACGAATTTTATTATTAGTTTTATGTATTAAAGTAGTTTTATTTTTAATTTTATTTTAAGTAGAATTTTTATTTATACACATTTTTTAAGACTTTTTCTTACATTTTAAGTTAAAAATATGCTCACACTTTGTTAAAAGTTCTGTATTAATAATATAATTATATTTCATTATATATAATATAAAAAATTATATTAATTATCAATTTTTATTTATTTTAATTGCCTATATTTATAAACTTTGTTTTTTTTTTCTTTTAATATATACATATATTTAATAATGTTATTTTCAAAATATTCTCACACTTTGTTAAAAGCTCTACATTAATTATATAATTATTTTTCATTATATATACTTTAAAAAAATATATTATATAACAATTTTTATTTATTTTAATTGCCTATATTTATATACTTTATTTTTTTTACTTTTTATTTATGCATTTATTTAGTAATGTTATTTTCAAAATATTCTCACATTTTGTTAAAAATTCTACATTAATAATATAATTCTTTTTCTTTACATATAATATAAAAAATTATATTATTGATTAATTTTTATTTTTTTTAATTGCATATACTTATATACTTTATTTTTTTTTACTTTTTAAATTAATTTAAAATATTTCTGATTCTATTATTTTCTATCATTATTATTCCATGCTATTATTTATATTTTTTAAATATATATTAATTTAATTTTAATACAAATAAAATAATTTATTAGGTTTTTAATAAATATAAAAATAAAAATTAATTATTATGTAAAAATATTTAAATTGCTGTGATTCGTTGAAAAAAATGTTTAAGTTCAAATGTACAGTGTAAAAATGTTTAATATGAAAATTTATTTATAATAATAATTAAGTCCTTCCTCAGGTGATGGCATTTATGATTACATATGTTTTATATATTAATATATACTACCTATTTAAGATGTTAAGTAAATACCTTCATATATGGTTTTGTCGAAAAAAAAATATATAATTACTCTTGTTTTAAATTTTATATTCACAATAAAATAATTTAAGCAATTAATAAATGACGTGATATTTCAATTCGTCCAACTGTTTCATCGATCAATTTAAATTTATAAGATTTTATTATATATTTTTAGTATCGCTAAAATGTAAATCTTAACTCATACAATTAAGTTTTTCCCCATTTTTATGGTTTAAATTTTTTTATGGTTTTATTTTCCCACACAAAAGAGGAATTTTATTTTGTGGTTGTTTTATTTATTGATCTTTTACATTATTAACATACCAGTTCTTGATAATTAATATCTAGTATTTTATATACTTTAGAAATCCACACTTATATAGGAAATACTACTCAAACTGCAGGTCATTAAAAACCTATTTTTTCAAATAATTATTGAACATATTCTGACATGTAATTCTCATGTAAACGCTTTAGTGTGAACTCGTCCAACCTGTAGCCTGTCAAGGTATATGCAATGGAATACATGAATTTAATTAGATTTCGTTGGGTTTGAAAGAAGGGAAGGTTGTAGTTCTAGAAAGATACGAATTAGCCTAGATCATAGTGAACTAACTTGTCCTCTTAAATGGTTCTCCAATCCTCCAAATAAGATATTGAACTGCAGCTGAAGCAGCATTCCCAACAGGAATTATGCCAACATTTTGGCTGTTTCGATATCCTGATATATATAGTTTAAATTAATTCGGGTAATTAAAATTGCCTTAAGTTTTTCGACAAATAAATGAATCAAAGGGAGATCAAATCATCGAAAACAAAAAACAATTGAAAAGTACATATACACAAATTTTCAAATGTATTAAATCCAGAAGATTTATACCGAGAAGAATGGGCCATTATAAATTTATTTTAAATTAGCATAATTTTTAGCTTTATCTAAAGTTTTCTTTTTATGGCAGCAATGTCTACATACAACTATAATAATTTTGTTATCTTTGTTGGAACAGCTGAACAGTAGTTGATAAGAATAAGTGGCTTCTAAACGTAATGTGATCACTATTGAAATATATAGTTCTGTTATCCTTATATATTACCGCTATTCAGGCTCCATTGGATTATAACAACAGCAGATATGCCATTATTCACTCTATATAGTATTAAGAAATAATGTCATTTGTATTCATATTTTAGATATTTTGTTAGGCATTAATGCTGTACATATTTGTAAATCATTTTTCTCCTAAAAAATCTAAATGGAATATATCATAGTATGTATAAACAGAATATTTAAGTTCCACGGTAAATACAATGAGATTTGTCATAACAATGCCGCCAGTATTTAAAGCTCAGACTTTGATCTGTTTGAACTCTTTGAAACTGTTTCTAAATCCCTGAAAAACTTATCTGCCATTTCTTTAATGTGAGGTCCTTTCTCAACAGTTTTTGTGCGTCGTCTCCTATGTATTTCTTTTTCTTTATATCTACAATAGCTGTTCATTCAATTTCCTTGTTGCGCTTAGCAGAATTGATTTCCTACATTTCTGGTTTTAAAAACTTTCCAGATGTAGGTTTCTTAAATCGCAAATTCTTCAGTTTTTGCATTGCATTCAGGCCATATAACCGGCGTTCACTCAGTTTCCATATTTCTGACAGCGAAATCTATTTCAATTTTAATGATATTGAAAACTTCCCTAACTTTGCTTCTTATGAGGCGTCATCTTATTTTATTTACTTACTAAGACATTTTCAATCCTTCCTTGATGTATTGTATTCCTTGATGTTATTACCGTAGAGATTATTTGCTTGAGTAATTTTCTCCATATCTGTTAGAAATCGAGATATTTTATTTTATATATTTCATAACAACAAATATACTGATCTATTACTTATTAAATTATTTTTTATTTTATTGCAATTTATATTTTAAATATTTTATGTTTATTATTTTAATTATTAATATTTATTCAATATATTAAATAAATTTTAACCGAACTACAGAACATTCTGTTTTTATGGAAATAAAATTTTTTATTTGTATTAAAAGTTTAAAGTCCTGTCCGAATTTATAAATATTATTATTTAAATTATTTTTTTTGTCAATTTATTTATTCCAGTGACAATATCCTCTCAAAAAATAAAATAATAACAGAACATATGGGAAGTAATAACTTCCACAGAAATATACATAAATAACTAAATCTTAATTAATAATAAATAACTGATTCCTATTTAAATTATTAAGCAATAGACCAATTTTAATAAACTATTATTAATACAAAACTGCCGTTAATTTTTTTCAAAAAAAAAAAAAAATATGTATAAATTTTAAATGATTTATTTATAATTTTTATTATATAAAATATTTCTGTAATTTAATATTAAAAAAAAATCAGTGTAAGTCCGTCAAATGTACAACAAAATAAATGGGTAAAATTCGATAAGCAATAAATAATCTTTAATGATAAATTTAATATAAATTATGAATAATGATTAATGAAAGCATAAAGATTTAAAAATTATGTATGTAAATAAATTTATGAAGAAGTTGTTAATAATGTTATTAGCAAATTTATTGACTTATATGTATATAGAATATATTATATATACTTAAATGCATGTTTCATGGTTGAATAATAAAAAACGAAATCAAATTGAAAAGCAAATGTGGTAGAAAATTAAATGTAAATTGGTTTGAACAGAGTAGAAAATTGAAAGCAATTCATTTTAGTTAGTGGTTGAATATGAAAAGTTATAAACAAAATATATAATATATATCTATTAATAAAAAATTTTAAGAATCAAACATTTATAAATAAATTCATTGTTTATATGCGTAATTAGGGAAATCATTTTTTAAATTAGCACATTCTTTAAATTAGAAAATATGGTGTGTATTATATATTATATCTCAAACAGAATAAACGCTTTTAAGAAATATGAAAAAATATTGAAAAAGATTTTTAAAATATTCCAAATTAAATATTAACAAAAAGAACATTTTAAGAAATTTAAATTGAAAAAAAAAAATAAAAACAAAAATGAAATTAGCACAAAAACTACAAACAAACATTGTTAGTGTAAAATATTATAAAACATTAAATATATATACATATATATATATATATATTAGACTCCAATAACATGAGTGTGAAAATTGAAAAGCATTTTTAATTAAAACAATATTAATTATTAAAAAGATTTATATGTGTTTAATGCTTAAAAACGAAAACAAAATGCATAAATTTGCTAAGTAAAAATTTAAAATTAAATTTTAAATCTCACAATCACTCGATATTAAAGCAAAACAAAATTAAAATTGAAAAAGATATGGTATATAAAAGTAATAACAAAACGAATCTTTATAAAATTTACTTTGTAAAAACTATTCTTAATCAAAAATAAAATAAGATATATAAGGCATTCTCTTAAAATATTGAACATTCAATAAGCTTAGAACTGCATTTATTTTAAAGCCATTTGTAATTATTGTAATATAAATAAATTATAAAAATTATTTATGAATTTTAATAGTAAAGTTTATTATTATTATTATTATTATTATTACTATAATATATGATCTAATTTTTAATTTTAAAACTATATATTTAATTAGCAAAAATGAAAACAATTTATTGTAAGCAAATAAGCAAATGTGCAAGAGTAGGAAGGCATGATACAACGCAATAAAAACAAGAACACCATTTCAAATGAAAGAAAAATAATATAAATTATTATAGCATATATGAAAATTTTAAAAATCTGTGTAAACAAACAAACCAACAAATATAATAATTATTATGACTATATGAATATATATAATAATATTAAATTAATTTTAAAATTTAAATGGAAGACATAAATGCAAAACAATTTTCAAATAAAATTGAACATATCGATAAAAATAAAAAAAATATATGCATTATTATTTCTTAGAAAAGATGTTAGATTATGTAAACCAGAACTATCCAGTTGTCCAGATTATGGGCCACTTGCCACATGCGGCCTGTGGCTAAAATATGTGTGGCCCGCAACATGTTTTTAATCTCCCACATCCTTTGATATATTTACGTAAAATTACATTTTATTTTATGGTATCAGAGAAAAGA